AATTCAATTTAATTTTCATTTCTTTTGGACATGTTCCTCATCCAATGTGGAAACAACTCTGAGATCATCGTCCTACCAAAACAGTTCAGTTGTTTCCGTGTCTCAAACATCTTTTTGTTGCTTTGACATTAACTTGAAGAATATAAAGGTTGTTCCACATTATTTCAATGACTTTGCAAAGTCCTCAGCATGTTGCTGCTAATGCCGCCATGCTTTATAGTTGGTGCAGTTTTCTTAAGCCTCTTGAAGATTTGTGAGTGCAACCCAGAAAGTCAACCAAACTGAGAAAATTTCAGATGTCATGGCAGAATTATACCTGCTGTTTTTTACAAAGTGCCTAGGTACAACAAGCAATGTATTAGCAGGGGTACATACATAATACCTATACATGAAAGGCCTGTTTGTATAATAATTCAGGCCCTATGTGGTTTAAGGAAAATTCGGAAAATGTTCATTTAATTATTGTTTTGGAAAAAGAAATGTCTGCTTTTTGGAAAAAGAACAAGTCAAAGAAATTCAAAATAATCCAGCAACCCTTGATTACACAAGGTGCACAAGTGTGTGTATCTTTTTACCCAGAGCTGTATGTCCATGTCAGAATTAGTGATTTTTGTTTTTTCTTTTTTCTCTTTTTTTTTTTTGTCGCAGGTGATCTGCACGGCCGGCTGGATGACTTAGTTCTGATATTCTATAAGGTACCCTAAAACAGAAATGTCTCTGTTTGTAGAAATACACAACAAAGCTTACAAAGAATAAAATAAAATGTTTGTTCTGGTCAAAATGTAGTTACTTTTTTTTTTGTTGATGTCCAGAATGGACTGCCTTCTGCTGAGACGCCATACATCTTTAATGGAGACTTTGTGGATCGTGGGAAAAAGTCGGTAGAAGTGGTAATCCTCCTACTTGCCTACCTTCTGCTTTACCCAGACCACATGCACCTGAACAGGGGAAACCACGAGGATCACATCATGAACCTCAGGTGGGTGTGTGGGGGGGGAAAAAGAAAACATGGAGAAAGAAAAGTTCATCCCCAGAAGTCCTCAAGAATTTTTTCTTGCTTCTCAGATACGGATTCACAAAAGAAGTTATGCAGAAGTATAAGGTAAATCCAGCAGATAATGACATTGTTCCTCCTCCACAAAAATAACTAAGGATCTGGTGATTTGGATTATTTTGGTCCACCATCATAAGATCTGTTTGTTTAACTGCATGCAGACCCATGGCCGTGAGATCCTCCAGCTGTTTCAGGACGTTTTCAGCCTTCTGCCCATCGCTACAGTCATTGATGCAAAGATCCTCATTGTGCACGGAGGAATTTCAGACCAGACTGATCTGGAATTGCTCAGCTCCATAGAGCGGCACAAGGTCAGAGAAAATCCATAGCTGCCTTTTGATTTTGTGTTTTATAAACTGCAAGGATTTTTTTCCCCCGTCATGTGAGGGCATAAAAAAATCACAGGTAATCCAGATGGTATTAAAGTTCCTTACTTTAATATTGCTACCCTTTAAAGTTCTTCACATATTGTTACATTAAAGGAAACTTAAATGCTTTTCGTTTGGATTTTAAGTGACGGACTGCCACAAACTAACTGTGAAATGGCGACTTTTAAACATTTTTCAAACAAAAACATGAAAAGTATGTTGCACGCCCATTAAAATGCATCATGGTTAGTGTATTCAGGCCTCCTTTGCTCTGACAGCCTGGAATAAAGGAGTTTATTTAAGGGATATGCATGATCCACTTTTCAGATATTCAAACAGTTTTGTTAACCATGTGTCACTTTGCGCTACAAAAATAGAAGACAAAAAAAAGGTAATTAAAATTGAACAACACAATTACACCATTTTGTTAGTAAAAATGGTGTAATGTTGTTTCTGTCACGGTTAACCCGAGCTAAAGCTTTTTAAATCACTTCCGTTGAGATATTTAGGGGCTTTGCAGGATGTTCTGCCTTCTTCTCTGAACATCTGTGTTAGTTGTTGACCTCACATCTTGTCCTCTCAGGTGAAATCCGCCCTGAGGTTTCCTAGACGCAGCTTGGAGCAGCTTCACATCGGTCAGTCCCATCGACTGGGCAAAAGAATGAGGCCGACGGACATCTCTCGCCCCAGCAGCAGTCGCAGCTACAATGGGAACCACAGGACTCCCACCCTGAGGTCTGATCTCTTATCTTTATTTGCAGATGTTTAGTCATTATTTATTTATTTTACCAAAATCCTGACTTTTCCTGCTACCTGCTCTCATCCTCAGAAAGAGGAGATGCAGGCTGAGCCGGCAAGATAGCGGAGCCTCCACTTCATCGTCTTCGTCCTCATCGTCGTCCTGTTCTTCGCTCTGCTCTCCTCGAACTCCCTCCTGCATCTCACCCCAAACGTACCCCTCGTCTCCCAGCACACCCTGCAACGTCCTCCGGGTGCCTTTCCTGGACTCTCTGTCCTCTGTTCCTCTCCCGTCACCCCCGCAACAGGAACGGGAATGGAAACAGGTGAGAGATTTTTCAGCTCTCTTATGTTGCATATATATGCAAATGCGTTTGTGTCCACTCTTGCATTTGCCAGATTGTGGATATATTGTGGAGTGACCCTAAAACCCAGGAAGGCTGCAGCCCCAACTCCTTCAGAGGTGGAGGCTGCTACTTCGGCCCCGACGTTACTCAGAGGCTGCTGCACAAGCACGGACTGCAGCTGCTCATCCGCTCTCATGAGTGCAAACAGGAGGGATACGAGCTCTGTCACAGCGGACGGGTAGGACACATTCACCTTGCTGTTGCTGCCCAAAAAACTGTGACATGTTTGAACGGGCACAGATGAACTTGTGCATCTCATAGGTGATCACCATCTTCTCAGCATCAAACTACTATGAGGAGGGAAGCAACCGTGGTGCTTACATCAAACTGGGAAAGGAACTGGTGCCTCGCTTCTACCAGTACCAAGTCAGCCGCACAACCCGCAGGCTTACACTGACACAGAGGTGCAATGCAGTCGCTCCTAAATTTAAACCAAAGTACTTAGAGTAATATTAGTAAATAAGATTTATCTGATGCTAATCCATGTTTGCCTTCTTCCACTTTATCCGTCTCTTTCTTTGCTTTCTCTTAAAGATTTATGTGGTCTGAGATCAGTATTGGCTCTTAAACCAGAGGGAGTCTTTCTGAACCCTGAAAGAAATGGAAAAAACTATAAAACAGACAAAAGTTTCCACATTTTAAAGAATCTGTTAACTATCCAGTTCAGGTTTGATTTGCACTGGTATTTTGAACAAATGCTGACTATGCCACAAGCTCCCCAAAAAGTGGAATAACTCTTGGATTTAATGGAATCAGAACCACCATTTTCTAATACAGCTATGTCTTCTTCTGTAATGGGCTCCTGTAAATAAACTATAGAAAACTGCTAAGCTAAGTGCAAGTAGCTGATTCCCCCCGAGCTCCACACCACATGCATGTGCCGCCCTCAAGCAGCATGCCACCATGGGTGGTGTGCCACAGGGCCCACATCAGGAACCACTTTAATCTGTGATCACCCATCAGGCAGAGCTGTGAGGTGTGTGGTTCCCAGTCAGTCATCATACAGACATTTGCTGGAACCAGTCTAAGTGCACATACCTCGTCTTTAAACACTGTGAAACTTGCATAGTGTCCCCAGCTTTGGTTATCTTGAATGTTATTATCATTCAGAACTAAAATATTGAAATAAAATTCTTGGTTTATAGCTTGTTTTTTAAATTTGTATTGCAGAGTTCGTGCAGCTGAAGGCTCTGCTCTCAGGGCTCTAAAGGAGAAACTGTTTGCCCATCGATCTGAGCTGATGACGGGCTTCCTGCAGTACGACCCAAATGAAACCGGTACTCTCTGCTCCTTCCAGCGCCACACAGGGGGGTGAGGGGTCACCCTTGTTATCACATGAAGCTGTTACCTTAGAAGCAACCTTTGTTACAGGCTGCGTGTCAGTCGGTGAATGGGCCAAGGTGTTGGAGTCTGTCCTGAGACTGGACTTACCCTGGCGGACACTTCGTCCACACTTAGTCCATCTGGCACCAGATGGCAGTGTTGAGTATCAGTCCTGCTTTGAGGATGTGGGACCAGGAGCTCCTCTGCCTCAGGTCAGAAGATAAAGTACCCAAGTGCTGTATGAACAAATATTTACTAATCCCTGATAGGAAATGTGAAACTAAAAGACAAATCTTATAATTGTACTTTATAGTAATTATGCTATATTTGCTGCATGTGTTTTATTTTTGTTTGTTTTTTTAGGTTGCTCCCACCTTGGCTGAAACTCTGTTCAGATACAGAACCGACATCGAGATAATTTTCAACATCATAGACAAAGATCATTCAGGTACATAAAACTCTTCAGCATGTTTTAAGTTGGTTCGTCTTGTTCCCCACCAACTAAAGCGTGTTCATGGTGGATGTGGATGTGTTAAGGTCTGATATCCATTGAGGAGTTTCGCCACACCTGGCGCCTTTTCAGCGCTCACCTGGGGGTCGCCATTGACGACAGAGCCATCGATGAGCTGGCCCGCAGTATCGACTTCAACAAGGACGGCAGCATAGACTTCACAGAGTTCTTGGAGGCCTTCAGGGTGGTGCACAAACTGGACATTAAAGATCATCAACTGAGCGAAAACGCGGATAAAGAGAAGTGTGCTTGAGTATTTGAAAGGAGACATAAACTCGATGCGAAGAGATACACCTGCTGCAACCTCCAGTATTAAGGTTCTTTTAATGTCTGCTATTTATTTGTTTTGTTTAAATAAATAAAAAATAAATCAGCAAAAAAACTTTTTTTTTTCTCTCCTACATTTACAAATTCACAAGCAGTACTTATCCAGAACCACATTTCCCATGAATGCAAAAAATGAAAAATAAAAATTGCTTCCTTTGAGTCCACCATGTTTATTTTTCACAAGTGTTTCAAAGTGACTTCTTAGGTGTGCGCTTGCATGGTAATTGGCTCATATACTCTGGTTTTCTACCTCAGTGATTACAAGCCAGGGAAGCTGTTAAACAGACCCAGGCATGCTTGTCAGCTCGGGAAACTGATGGGCTTGGAGTCTTTTTGAAGCAGCAGTTTTTTTACACATGTGCAAACACAAAGTAGATGCAAAAAGTGTAGAAACTGTTGTAGAAAAGCTGACTGCAATAAAAAAGACAGACTTTGTCACTTCTGTATCTGTAATTAGTATTTGTGCCGTCGCTTCACTTCCTGCTCCCTTCTTCCCCTGATTCCTCTGGGATTCTCATTCTTCTGGGCTCGACTTTTTCAAAGGCTTCCTACTTACTTGCACTCTCCCAAGTCCTTTTTTCTTTTTTTTGCCTCTGCTCCTCCCATCTTTCCTGCTCAAACATTCATAGAGGTGCTGCACCACTGCAGCACTGACGATTACAGTTTTATCCCTAGCGCACGGTCAGACAAGGAGCTCCGATGGGACTCCTGGTCCCACTGGTCACTTTGGCTCTGGTCCAGGTTTCAGGTATGTCTTGAAGCTGATGTTGTGTTGGGTGCTGAGGAAAGCTGTGGGTTCAGGCACTGACGGCGAAACCCTGTCTTTCAGTGTTTGGAGACACAGGATGCAGAAGGTTTAAGAATCTGGACAACGGACAGACATTTTTCCGGTATGGTGGACTCATGGTGATCTTCCGCTGTCATCCGGGATACAAGCTCCATGGACACAAAACCAACAGCTGCGTGTCTGGACACTGGTCTCGAGAGCTCCCGGTTTGTGTTGGTAACGTGTTTAATTTTCTCCTAATCTCCAAGATTGAGTGATTTTATTCTCTGTATAGATTAGCTGTTTAATTTAAAGTACTGGTGGGAGAACAAGGGTAGTCAGAACTTGGACATTTTTTTAAAGATTTTATTGAAAGAAAAATTAATTTCTTTTAAAAAAAAATACCCACCCTGGTCAGGTTCAGGTTGCTCCCATCCAGGCTCGATCAACCACGGGACTAGCAGGATGAAGGAGGATGGCTCCTGGGCAGAGTTCAGCTGTAATAGAGGCTTTCGCTTACACGGCCCTTTAATGATATACTGCAAGGGCCACACCTGGAACAGCACAAAGCCAGTCTGCAAAGGTGAAGGTGGAAACATCTGTGTTTTTCTATCCTAAGACCTCCTCACGTTGTTATATTATTAAACGTGTGACATTTGTCTTTTTGTTTCAGAGGCAGACATTATGAGCTCAGTTTCGCTCAACAGTCTCTACGACTTGAACGCGCTCCAGAAACTCCAGATTTCTGCGGCTTTAAAAAATCAACACCTCCACTTCAAGGCTGTCAGTAGCGGGGCTTCCAAAGAAGCGCGCCTCGGATTCGACCGTTTGCCTTACGCGCCGTTCAAAATGTTAAAGGGTGAGAGATATAATCTAACAAACCCAAGAGGCGACCTCTTCATTGAACAGGGTCAGTTTTCCAGCGATGGGACAGAGACAACCCAAGGAACCAGAAGGTTTGGCTCCGTGGCACAGACTTCACATGACTCAGCAAGAAATTTGGATGAAGCCACACAAACGTTTTCCTCAGAAGATCATTTTCCTTCCACTGTCCGGTCTGCGCATCAAACATCAGCATACGAGCCGCGTCTTTCAACCACACCCGCACCAGCTGGGCCCGCAGTTACTGCAGCACCTGCAGGTGGAGATCTTCACCGGTCCACAACTTCTTCCTTGGCTTCATCCTCCTCCGGTCCCAGTTCCACCCAGTCCAGCACGAAAACACAGATCTCGGATGACGTCACCCTTCTTTCAAACATCTCCAACTCAACTGACCTGAGATCCTCCTGGAGGGAATTTCACAACTTCACACAGTCCAGCACCGCAAAGCCAGTTGTGCATCTTCGAACTATGTGCCCATACCCACCTGTGCCTCTTCACGGGACGTTTTACTTTCACAATCTAGAGAACCCAGGCCCCAGTGAGTTTAAATATTACATCCAGTACGCCTGTTACAGTGGGTATTCTCTGTCCCGTGGAGACGTAAGCAGCTACTGCCAGCCTGGAGGCGGCTGGAGCGGAGTCACACCCGTCTGTCAGGGTAGGTGGTCGGATTTGCTGTTTTTTTGTTTTGTTTTGTTTTTTGGATCACTTGACTGCTTTCTCGCGCAACTCATTTGTCTTCTTAATTTAGACGACATTGATTGCGTTGTTTATTTTGTCTTAAAATGTTACGTTACAACATTCAGCGTGAGTTTTTTAGTTCAAATTTAGAAGTATGTAAAATGCAACAGTTTTTATTCTCTCATTTCAATGTAGCTCATTGAATGCACATTCAATACTTTTCACAACTATTTAGGCAGAATTACCACCTTTTCATTGTATTTTATTATGTAGCAATAATAACAATATGTTTAGAGTTCAAAGTTTTTTCATAATGAAAGAAAATTGTCTTGGTACGACCAAAAGTTTTGAAAGTCACATTCAAGCAGATTCTTTTTTTTTCTCATATCCATCACAATGTTTAACCTCATCGTCTTGACTGATTGTTTACAATGAGCAGATTACGGTGTAAGAAAGCTGCTCAGTTTGTGTAGCCTTGCCTCGAGACGAGTCCCTTGCAGATATTTTCATAATGAAATCGTTAACTTAAGCAGCAAAATCTAAGACTGCCGACAACGTTCTGGGTTGTTGTATTAATAATTGAGACCTGAGGTGAACTTTACAAACTAGTTTGATGATTTAAGCTGTTGATGAGTCCTGTCGGCTCTTGTGGAGTTGCACCTCACGCCATGCTTAAAGACAATTTTCCCTCATGTTAGTAATCTGTTCAACAGGTGATCTGGTCACCTCTTCTTTTATTTTAGAGTTGACATCTTGTCCAGTTAACAATGAGCTCTGCTCTCACTCCTCAAACTACAACCAGAACTCTAATGAGACACAAAGCAGAACCTGGTGCCACTGCAGACCTGGTGACAGGCAGACCCGTCGAGCTTGAGCATATTGTTTTTCACACCTGATTGTTTTTTTATTATTATTATTATTATTATTATTTTGCCAGGACTGTTTAGTAGCATTTATTCCTCGCTGGTACTTCCTAAGGCATGTTCCTGCAAAACAGAACATTTAGGATGTTTGGTGTGTCAAAGTTCACAGAATACCCCAGTTGAGAGATTTATGAGATCACTGCAGCACTTATAGACACCTGGTAGTTTATACACATACCTGCTCCCTGACAACCTGTCATTATTATTTGTTTATTTTGGTCCTCTGCACTGTGAAAAAGAGAGGAAAAAACCCCCAAAATATGGACAGAGACGAGGCTGGAGAAATGTTGGCCTATCTTCCAGCAGAGACTCTTCTCCTCTGCGCGTGTCTCTGTTTCCTGTCTGAGGGACAGGATGCAGGAAAACATCTGGGTTATGGTTTGCTCATTAGAGGCCATAACAGCGGGCCAACATAGAGATGCACCACTGAAGTTTTAGAATACAACCTTTTTTTTTTTTTTTTTTTCTGCGTAGTTGTCTCAGAGGCTGCGACCAGCTTGTCCAGCGTATCGACTGACAGAGTGCGAGTGTAAATACTTCATTAATGCTTGAACTCTGCGCCGAGCGTTGATGTGACCCGTTCCTCTGAATGCAGATCTGGACGAGTGCGCAGAGGGGCAGCATCGGTGTCAGCAGAGTTGCATCAACACATTTGGCTCCTTCAGGTGCGGCTGTCACGTCGGGTACCAGCCAACTCCTGACCAGGCCTCCTGCGTCGGTGCGCCGATGACTGCGTGTCCTTCCACATTCGTGTTTGTTTGAGTTTCCTCTTGTAAACAGACGACCGTCTTTCTCCACATCTTTCCAGATATTGACGAGTGCCTGCTGCCGGCAGCGGCCACAGGTTGTGTGTTTGGCTGCGTTAACACTCCTGGGAGCTTCCTCTGCTCGTGTCCAGATGGCTTCAGCCGGCTGAGTGCAGATGGCCGCTGCCAAGGTGGGAAAGCATTTACTCAATATTAAACTGAGCTGTGGCGCCTTGTGGTGGAGTGCTGTGAAAAACAGACTCCTTCTGTTTTTCTTTTTTTTTTAAATCACACTTCAGTGTTTTCGATTATTAAACTACTTTTAAAATAACCTGACCTTGTAATTGATTTGGCCAACTTTCTGCATATAAATGTTTTCATTCAGTTACTTTGTTTACTTTTTAGTTTATATAGCATGCTCCCTTCATAAATCAAATCATCAATGTTAAAACTTTATTTTGAATTTACTTGGGTTCTCTCTGATTAACGTCAAACTTTGTTTGATGGTCTGAAACATTTAAGTGTGACAAAAAGCAAAATGGTTCTAGATGTTCTTATTTAACCCAGACATAGATGAATGTGCGGCTAATAACGGACTTGGACCCTGCAAGCTGCGGTGCCTCAACTTACCAGGATCCTACAGTTGCTCCTGCTCTTCTGGCTACATCTTAGCAGGAGACGGACACAGCTGCTTTGCAGAGTGTCCACCTGGATACAGGAAGAAACCACTTACACGGCCAGAGAATTCAACAGGACAAAATCCGAAGCTGGAGTGTGTTGGTAGGTATGAAATGATACACTCAGTGGGTCGGTTCAGTTTTTTGTTTTTTTTTTTTTCCAAACTGGGGTTATGTTTCTCTGTTGGCAGATATAAATGAATGCCTGGAGAATATGTGTGAATGGCAGTGCATCAATCTGCCCGGCTCCCACCGCTGCATCTGCCCCCGAGGATACACACTGCACAGAGACAAGCGACACTGCAAAGGTTCGTGTCGTTACAATGCCAAAACTAACCAAATCACTTTTTTTCTGACGCTGCACAAATTAGGCAACTAGAGTTGCAACGATCCAGGGATTGGTACGGAAGTAAATATGGGTACACAGTAAATATTTTTGTTTGTTTCATTGAGATTTTTTTCCGTTTCCCTTCTCCAGATATTAATGAGTGCAACCAGAAGAACGGAGGCTGCTCTCATCTGTGTTTGAACAGAAGAGGAGGTTACAAGTGTTCGTGTCCGGCCTCCCATCGTATGTCTTCCTTCAGCTGGAAGAAATGTTTGCTTAAGACAACAGCGCCCTCTGCTGGCTAGGCTCTTCATCTCCTCTGCTAGACTTCAGGCTTTTGTTTAACGCTGACAACTTGGTATTTTTTATATTTTATTGAACACTTATTGATAAAAGTGTTGTTTTGTTTTGCCTGTAACCTTTCAACTTTTTCAGGCAATAGGACAGGATAAATATTCTCTCTTTTATTGTTCAATACTTACCCAGACCTGGAAAATGATTCAATTCTATATTTTTGTAGAAAGCCTAATTCATATCCTTAATACCATTTTAGTCTAGAGAGGCTAAAAAACAGTTCTGAAGTTTCACTCCTTTTATCGTCTGCACAAACGGACAGAATGAATCCACACCAAACAGCGGTGAGGATCTGGACAACACATCATCTTTTTATAAAATTGATAAATATGCTATGCTGTAACTACGCTGCTCCTAATGTGATTTTTACTGCACCAGCTTTAACTTCACACCTCAGAAAGAGAAACGTCTCATCTTGTCATTTTTCACGTTGCACTGACTCATCTCTCCTCTCGCCAGCTTCTCGCCTTTTCTTTTTCCTCGCACTGCAGGTGGTATGGAATAGACGAGAGGAATCCAGGTTGTAAAAGTGTTTATTTCAGAAAGAGCGAACCATGATCTGAACCTTTCTGTTGTTGGACACAGTTTGAAGGTGCATGCGGTCGGCGCAGACGTCAAGTCTGCTGTTTTGTTAATGCAAATGAGAAAGTTGTTACTATCTGCAGTCATTAGCAAAACTATTATTTATTTTTGCTTGAAATAAATATCCAAAGGATTATGTAAGGAGTAGCAATAGACTAATCCTGAAAATAATACCACAAGAGTAGTTGTTCTCACTGCAACAAATGAACAAACTGTCAACATGCTGGATAAATATGGGGTGACATTCATATCCAGACACACCGATAAACAATTTTTTTTAATAAAAAGGTTCTCTTTTAAGAAAAAACAAAGTTATTTATTTCCATCATTCTAAGTCGGTCTTATTTATACTAAGACAGTAAAATTCAAAAACTTAAGTATAAATAAAACAAAAGTAATTAATGGAAATAAATGATTGATTTGGGGGAAATTAGTAGTTTGGACAATGATCACAGTATTTTATGAGGAATTGCAAATCAGTTCAGTAGTCTAAAGTTTCCACTTAAATTAAAAGGATTTAAATAAATTATAATATGACCTAAAACCAGACACGTGTGCTTGCCCTGTTACAAATGTGTAATTTAAATAGCTTAAAATGTACACATATATTTGAACAGCTATCCCAATGCAGACAAACAAGGATAATTTGTGAGCTGCCAACGCTGCGATGCTGCATCAGTACACCAGAGCTACCGCTTACTGAATAATTAACACCAACAAAATCCACACGAGTTACAAATTAGAAGCTCTGCTTAACCCTTCTGCTACCAGACAGGCTTTATTCAGCTGCCTGGAGTCGGTGTCTTCACTGCATCAGGCAGCTGGAACTTGGCAGGAAGTCTTGGACGTAAGTGACGACCGCCTTGGAGAGATAAGTCATGGTGCCGTAGCTGCCACTAGGGGCGCTGTCGTAGAAGAAGTTGCAAATTCCCGTAGCTGGGTCCTTCTCCAGGAAATAATCACTGGCGCTGAGCGATTTCTGGAGATTTGAAATTAGATGGATTAAGCTAAGGTGAACCCGCAAGCGTTTGTCATTTTTCATAATCTATCTTTAGTACAGGACTGTGAAAAGCAATTCCCCTCCCAAATAGTCGAGTTCACTTTTTGTTTCTTTTACCTTTTCAGGTAATCCACACATCAACTAAATTTTATTATCAAACATAACCTGAAAAAAAAACTGAACACTGTTTCTATTTGTGGAAAAAAAACTGGTACACTGCAGTCCCAAAGCCTAAGAAATGGTTCTGTAACCCTTTCAAGACTGATACTCTTTCACTGAAAGTCGTTATCTTTGCCTGATATTAAACATATTTGGTAAACTGGAACATTTACGTGACAAAAAGCAAAAACAGAAGAAATTTCTAAGCTGTCCAACGGTTTTCCAGTAGCCCCGTGAGCCGTACCTGGTCATTTAAGAATAAATCGTTGGCCAAATGCAGAATGCGCTCCACATGGATAATTCCACCGATGCTGTCCACGTCCACATCAGCCACCAGACCCAGAACCATCACAGTCTCCACCAGCAGCTGCCTGTACTCCGGCTGTGGGACGTGGTTCAGGACAGACTCCACTTGCACTGCAAACTTGATCTCTCCTGCTGTCATCTGCACAAGAAGACTTCAAGTCACACATCCATGGACATGAACCCACACCAAGCCCCAAACTCCAGAGCTGGCAGTAGCATGCTACCTCTCTTGTGGTGGACGAGGGCAGCACGTATCCGTCAATGGACAGGCCGTGGCACTTCTGCAGGATCTTCCAGACTTTCTGGTAGAAACCCATCGGCACCCTGTTGATTGCTCCATCCAGCCGCCGTCTCCTCAGCCACTGGCCCTGCCTCTCCTCCCAGTGCAGCTGCCCGTCTCCGGGGCCATGTCCCACTGGGGACAGCATTCCACTGGGGGTGGAGGGGCTGCTGCAACGCTGCAGGACCAGCACACCACTGTTCTTACTGTCAAGCTTATTTGAGCCCATTAAACAAGTCAGAAGCAACTGCAGTTTTTCCCACAACACTGGGTTAATGTCAGAGCTCCTTGACCCGTTTGTGATTGGTGGAGATAGGCTCTGTGTAATAAAGAGATTAGTAGCACACACACACAGGTTTGTTGTATTCTCTGTCTCACACAAATAGTTGTTTTAATTTATGCAACAGTCCATGCAGTCACTCATGCAAAATGGGTCACTTAAAAAAAATGTGTCAGGACTGGCATTATCACAAGTTCTAGTTTTGTAAATAATTGCGTACGCTCAAGCTGAAATAAATTACACACATTAATGTGTTACCTTTGTGTGGCTGCAGCAGATTGTTTTGTCTCTGATTAATAAGCAAAATAAACAGGAGCTGCCACTTTAACATAGATGTACATACAAGTTCACCTAGAGGTTTTGCACATTTATTATGGCGCACAGATCAATCTGATGCCCATTAATAATTTGTATTCTTTAGTTTGTTCAAATATTTAAGAAGTGCTCTTGAAGGAGCATGTGCCTTTCGACTTTTACATTTTATATTTGTCTTTTGTCTTTTTTGTTTCCTTACCAACTAAGGGCTTGTTTTAAGTAAATAATTTCTTCATATTGATGGAAAAGTACTAGTACCACTATAACAGTACATTTGTCCCATAATATAAGTGAAACAATCAGCCAGTGGATCTACTACTTGTTTTAAATCAATATTAAGGAATTACTGACTTAAAGCAAGCTCCTATATCTTGGTAAAAAGTTACCTGTAAATTAATTTTGTCAAATTTCAAATGTGCCAAGATGTTTCTACTAGAACCTAGACAAAAAGCTCGGTCAGATTTTGTGTTTTTGCAGTGTTATTTCAATAAAACATGTTACCACTAGCCCACGACAACTTGACATAATGCCATTCTCAACCTTTACTGTGGGCAAGTCACACAGAGGAGGTGTCTAAATTTAGGATGAAATCATCAGGTATATGTTGCATACTACATTATGACCCTGAGAGGGATGAAGCAAGCCAGTGTGAAGCAGTTGAAATGAAATGGTTTACCGTGGAGCGAGGGGAAGTTACATTGCTACTCAAGGAAAGACCTCCACTGAAGATCTACACGTGGAACATGGACAGAGGGCAGATTGAAATGGTTCGCATGAATCTCATGATGCATACTTATACATGGTAAAGCATAGACACAAAAAAAGACACGCTAAAAGAAGAAGAGATACAAGGGCAGACGACCCCAAAGCAGCTTAAGCAATCATGGGTTAAGTTGGTTAAAGAGATTGTAAAGTTGCAGACATTTATATGTGCTGGTCTTCAACAACAACAACAACAAAACAAAAACACTGCAGATGGATGCATAGCATGTTGCATAGCAATATTTTCCTGCTGATTCGTCACGAGGAGAGTCACTCCAGCTATGGAGGCCACTGTAGTACACAAAATGTTAACAGGCAGCGAGTGATTGGTGGACAGAATTGAACCGGCGGCTTGATTTTTTCACTTTAGATTGAGGTTAGAAACACATGCTATAAATTATCAAAGATAACCCACACTGAGAGGTCGAGAGCCATCCAGCTGCAATTAAAAGCAAGAACAATGTTAAACAGAGAGAGAGGAAGAGAGAGAGAGACAGACAAACAATCTTTTTTCTCACTCACATGTTTTATTTCGCTCTTTAACTTATGAATCCCTGTGCGTTCAGTCTTTGTGGCTCCTGTGTGGCCCAGTTCATGAATAGAGATCGCAGGACTGGTGGCTGTGGACTGGATTGGACGCACTGCAAAACACGCAAACAACAAATATAGTTCACTCTAAATATGATCTTGATATTGTTCTGTGGTCAGAACCACTGTGACAACAAAATATATAAAAACACCTGCAAACTAAACCAATTCAGAAAACTTCCACACATCAGCTCGGCATCATGTTTAATGTTTTGTAAAGTTTGTTTCTACTTTATTCCTGGTTTATGAAGCTAAATTGTCCCGTTTGATTCTTCATGTATCATCTCAAAGTTATTGTTTGTCAGAGTTCAGTTTCTTTTTTTTATATCTTTTACCCCAGATATTGGCCCTGAGTCGGGTCAGTCAGTTCATTTTGGTCTGTAAGACTCCTTATCTGACTGACTGAATTATTTACCTAAATCAATTAGCATGAAATGAAATTATCTAAAATACAACAGCGCTTCAACATTTCCCTGATTAAATAATCTCTAAGAAACATTGGGTTATCCTTAATGAGGATAAATTAGATTATTCCATACTCCAAAACTGCTTATGTTCATATGATTCAAAGCACTTCTACATTTTCAATAATCAGAATCAATCAGAGGAGATGGCTGAGTACAAGCAGAAAAAGGTTTGCTGAGCAGCTTGTGAATACTTAAATTTTACGGCTTTAAGTTAGTGTCTTTTTTTTTATTCACCAACTCAACTAATCATGTAACATCTAAAATTTCACTAGTTTGATTTATGCAACAAGGCCTTATTGATGTAATACAAACAATACGAGCCGATTTGATTCACCTCAATGCAGAGATGCAGACTGAAATCACTCCTTACAGCATCGAAAGTCTTTCAATGGAGAGAAAGTGGAAAAAACTAACATAATTTGATTATAGCTAAAGAAAAAATGAGAGGTAAAAACTCACTGCTTCTCTCAACCCCAAACTCTTTGCCACTGAGGATGTGATGCAGCAGGTTCTTCATATCGAACGGACTCAGACTCATCAAACTCTCAGACGCCTCCTCTCCTACAAAACCATTGCAAGGCGTTCACAGTTTGCTTCCCCCACGTGTGTCAATCTGTTCACGTGTATGTTTTTGACTCCTCCCCTCCCTCCCCCACACCTGAACAGTGCAGGCTGCGGGCCAGTTCAGTGGCCATCACTTGCATGATGAGTCCGATCCTGAGGCGGAGCATGTCGCCGAAAAGAGCGGGCTGGGAGCGAACGTACATGGCTAAATAAACCATGATTTCCTTTAACAGAAGCACAAACGAGTCACAGGCGGAAAGGGAGCATCCTTTACGATCCTGGCAGAGGTTTAAAATGTGACAGCGTTACCTGTGTGAGAACAGCTATGCTGATATCCTGACCACTGGCTTCATATATCAGAGTGTTTAACTCCTCCGGGGGAAGTGGCCTGGGGAAAACAGGGCATTCGTGTTGCTGGTAAAGGCTTTAGTGAAGGAGAAAAAGCTTTGCAACTCATGAACATCTTACATGGTGATCACTCTTTCTCTTGGTTCAGGAGGAAGACCGACAGTCAGCTGCTTGTGATGAGAAATCAGATCTGTGCAGGCCTGAGAGAAACACACAAAAAAAGGAACAAAGTGATTAAAATAGCCCGCCACGTGCAAGGCAACAATTCTCACAAGCGAATCACAGTGAACCTCACAGTGAACCTTGCTGTCCTCAAACCGGTTATTAATGCTATAAAACGTCAGACTGCAAGATGAAATTGGAAGCAATAAAAGTTAAATGACTTCAAATTATATTTTTTTGTCTAATAGTTGAGTGTTAGAGCTGGAATGTGATTAAAAAAAAAGAGCAAATCACAAATTATTTGATCTTATAACTATGCACAGTTTTGTCAAGAGTCGTCATTGTGTTTCATTGCTGGAATATCAATAAATTTAAAATAAATAAACCTAAATTCAGACTGAGAACTGTATCACATTTTGGCTTGGAGCTTGTCTGTGTTTACTTCACTGCTCCGGGGTTTCCTCATTGACTAATTGCTGATTTTAATGGGAGATGAATTGATGTATTGTACTAATTGTGAATCTAATTTTTGATCTGAGATCTAAGATATTTGAGATAATACTCAAAAACAAAGGTACTGATGCCTAAAACTAGTCGATTCAATGTTTGATAAGGTGCATCATGCTGAAGGTGACATCATCATCACCTTCATCATCTAATGTGTTTTAACAAAAACACATCAGAAAAGAGTCAGACAACATCACTGCCTTTAAAAACACATTTCGCACTTATCCAGACATTTCTGCACAGACCATTTTCTGTACTTTTCTCTACTTTTTAAGACTCATTTGGAACTTTAAAGTTTCTATGTGATTTGATTGACTGTTGCCATAAAAATAACCCGGACTTCTCACTGACCTCGGCGAGGACCTCCACTCTCTTGCGTAGTATTCCAGAGATGTACCTAATGAGCCCCCACTCTTTGCAGGCCCCGGCCTGCACATACAGCTCCTCGAGCAGCGAGCGGACGCTGACGCCGCCCTGTCCAGGTCCTGACAGCTCCACCACCCACTCCGCTCCTCTTTGTCAGAAAATAACAACAACAAAAACAAAAAAAAAAGTCACAGAGCAGGAAATTACGAGGATCATTTTAAGTGTGTAAGCTATATGCAGAGTGTTGTTGTCATATCTTTGTGTACTTCATAACGTAGAGTATGTAGAGAATGTCAGCCTGGTCCTGCAAAGTCGGACACTCCTTTATCTGATTCACCAGCGCTGCAAAGTCGGTGTTGCCCTGAGAGTCTCTTGGCAGATGTAGCTCAGAAATACTGCAGAGCTTCAGAAAGAACATGAGTGTTAATCTTCCACCATCACAGCAGGAATGGACACGCACACACACACACACACACACATACACACACACACACACACACACACACATTGCTAAACACATGTGCTGAGCATGCCTTGGGCTGCTCCGGCTGCTTTGCCTGTGGGCCAGGCTGAGGATGAGGAACTTCAAGGAGGTTCAGGGATCTCCGATGCTTGTTTGTGATTGGAGTCACAGGAAGATACATTGAAGTCTCTGAAATGCAAATATGCACAATAAAACAGAATGGTGTTTCCAGAATGCTTGCACCTTCGCAGTGCCATATCATTGTTTTTCATCCTGCTAATTAAAGCTGCAACCACAAAAAAAAAAATACCACAATAACAATTTTATATGTTTGTGTGAGTCTATTTGCTGTTATTGTCAGTCGCTTTGCTGCTGTTGCACAGAAACGTCTCCGTTGTGGGAAAGTACAGGACATTTCCGCTCTATTCTGAACTCACTGGGCATTTTCAAGCCTTGGACCTGAGCCATAAAGGACAGGATGTCCCTGGTGGTGTGCTCAGGGCTGAAGATGTGGTGCTGCCCCCTCTGGATGGGAGGTAGATATGACTTGGTGGCAGTGCTGTGAAGGAGCTGTGTGATGTACTGGTCAAATGTGTCCTTGGAGCCCACTGTTTAAAAAAAAAATGCTTCCAGTTAATATTTAATAAGACAAATTAAAGTGTGATGGTGGAAATGCAGCGTCGCTAACTTACGATCAGGTGTGTTATATTCAGCTCTGTATTCGTCGTTATCTTCGTCGTCTACGTCGTCAAATAAACTGTCGTCAGCCTCTTCGTCCAGGAAGGTGAGGCGGGTGTAGAACGACGTAGTCTGGACGCTGGACAGATCTGACATCTGCACTCTGTGGTGCCACACACACCAAAGCTCTCACACATAGAAGGAGCTGCTCTAATTACATGAACGTCTGTGTGTGTGGTTTCAGTACTGCATATGGGAGAAAACAAACCTTGCTCCGGCAAAATAGCCATCCTCCAGCTTCCTGAGCGTGGATAAGATACACGGATCTATTGCTTCTCCATCCTCGACTGGTTGGGAAAAGTAAAGTGAACTGAAATTACTTTGCGGCGTAATTTCACTTTACACACTTCTGTGAGATTCACCCCGTTGTCCCTTTAAATATTTCCAATCTCCAAACAAATTTTACCATTAGACAAAAATAACCACAGTTCTTAAATTATGATTTTATGTATTAAGAGAACTGGCTAGGGGCTGCACAGTGGCGCAGTTGGTAGAGCTGTTGCCGTGCAGCAAGAAGGTTCTGGGTTCAATTCCCGGCCCCGGTCTTTCTGCATGGAGTTTGCATGTTCTCCCTGTGCATGCGTGGGTTTTCTCCGGGTACTCCAGTTTCCTCCCACAGTCCAAAAAAAACATGACTGTTAGGTTAATTGGTCTGTCTAAATTGCCCCTAGGTGTGTGTGTGCGCATGGTTGTGTGTCTCTGTGTTGCCCTGTGACAGACTGGCGACCTGTCCAGGATGTACCCTGCCTCTCGCCCGGAACGTTAGCTGGAGATAGGCACCAGCACCCCTCCCGACCCCACTGAGGGACAAGGGTGTTCAGAAAATGGATGGAGAACTGGCTACGTCATCACTCCTGGGAGTAGCTAGTGATATTGAACGCTACTTTCCAAACAATGTGGAACCATCATTAAAAAAAAAAATTGAAAACTGCTTTTGGTATTTACTAAGATTATATTTGCCTGATACCAAAAATATGTTTGACGATCAGATAGATAAAACATAAAATAAAGAATAAAAGAAATGTGTAATGTCGCAAATACTTTTCCAGCTTCTATAAAAACAGCTTTTATTATGCCAGTCTTGAAATCAACAAGACTGGCATAAAATAAACTTTTACTTTTAACAAGTGATTTAATTTAATTTTAAAATGAGACGACTTCATCAGGCCAAATAAAAAAAGATCAATAACAGGTTTCAATGATCCAGTCCATAAAGTTACATTAAAACAACAAGAAGAAGTCATGATCTTCTTCTAACCTATACGAATCCTACATCAATCGTGCACAAACATTGTTTTTTTGTCTTTAATTTGTGCAAAAACTCGCACAAAGTCTGGGATTTGGAACGATAAAACTCTATTATTCACTATCTGCAACACAAAAATGACTTGTTCTTGCTATAAATGAGGACAAAAGAAGCAGTACAACATGTAGGAAGTGTAGTTTTCTCCAGTTTTGGCTGTAGAGAATTCATACCCAGCATGCTGCGGGTGATAGGGAAGGTGAGCGTGGGACGTCCCGTCATCCTCCAGCACGATGACAGATAGGCCAGCTCGGTTCGTAACATCTCAACAATCATCTGGTTGTCCAGCGCCAGGTAGAAATGATGGTGATCTAAAAACTGATCAGTGGAGACCGAAAAGAAGAAACACAAAGAATTCAAAATATTACTATCATCATTTCTATCCTTTTCATCTGAGATTTTCTGTTGCGGTCACAGACACGTGTCGTCTTCCCAGCCAGATGCCGTTTCACCTGAGGGGTGAAGATGTAGGAACGATTCCTGATCTCGTAGAACTTGGACGTTCCCAGAACTCCGATGTGTCTGTACGGCCTTCCGCTCAAATTCAGCTTCCTGCAGTTTCCTGAGGAAAAGACACCACTTGTTGCTTTTGTTCCACACACACACACACACACACACGCAGATCTCAAAGTTTAAGAAAAACAAAGTGTGTGATTACCCAGCCTGACATAGATGTGGCTCAGGATGCGAGCAGGCATGACTCTTATAGGCATGACCTCTGATATGGTCTGCACCGTAACGCCGGCATCTCTTAGCAACTCCTTGATCTTCTCTGACTCTGCTAGCACACAGACTACAGCAAACCAAAAGACAAACAGGTTTTTGATATTTTTGATATCGTATGGTTTTTAAACCATCCGGTTTTGTTTCGAAATATGTAAATAAATACATATCCCAGAGCAGGTAATTTACTAATTACCAACCTTGTACCACAACGTCAGGTTTGAAGTTTGTAGAGAATCTCCTGTTGAGAGGGTCTATCTCTCCTGGTGCAAGAAAGCCCTTCCAAGGAAAAAATAAATAAAATTGAAAAAAAGTAGACTTCCTGTACGTTTATATTTAGGAGAACTGATTTGATTTGTTTATTTTTTTTTGTCCTTTTAGAATTTGCAACAAACACTTGCAAAACATCATATAAAAGTGATTTATTATATCTTGTCAGCCATTACCTCAGCCAGAAGACATCCCACAATGTAGAGGGATTGTCCCCACATGTGTGGAAGCTGTCCCATGGCCATCCTGTCCACAGAGTGAGGATTGCCGTATTCCTCCTCCACCTGCAGTAGAAACAAAAAGATTAGTTGTCAATAAACTTCTCCAGCAAGTGGAGCTGGAATTGAACAAACAGTGACAAAGCTTTTTAAAGGCGTCTCTTTGTAAAAAAAATATAGATACCTTATCAAGTGGTACAGCGTAAAGTTCAGGCAGGAGTTTGATGCCATTTTTCCCTCTGATTAAAACGCCTTCCAGGGCCTCCCGGTACTCCTGCACCTGTGTGCAAAGCGTGTAGTTATTTAGTAACACAGCAGCACCATTTGAACTCATTCACACTGAATACATCACTGTGTCTCTGAAGCAAGACGCTTAACTCTAAAGAAAATGTTTGTATATTGAAGGAGAGAGTTCTGAGGAAAAGCATTATTTAAGTTTCTAAAACTAGTAGTGTTTTCTAGTTTCTAATTTTCTAATTTACTTTAATACATCTGAAAAAAGTATGTGTGAAGCACATCAATTTTTTTTTTTTAACAAAGCCACAAAATGGCACAACTAGAGACAATACTAAAAGATTTGAGCATTTTTAGAAGCCACTTTATAAGTTGCACTTTTTTTAGTTTTTTTTCCAGATGGTCATGGAGTTTGAAATAGTTTACCCATGACAGAGATCCTGTTTTTTTGTTTTTTTTTTCCTACCTGCACGTGATCTCCAGTAAAGATGCCGTCGAGGATGAGATACGTCCAGAACACCGGCCACTCACATTCGATGTTCTCAAACAGCTTGAGCTCTGCAGGATCGTAGTGCAGCCGAGATGGATCCTAGTAACACAATGACCAGAATCTTGATTTTTCCATCCAATGCAGAGTCTTTATACAACAAGAATGGACTTAATGTTAAAAAATATTTCTTCTTATGGCTTTTTTTATATACCAATATGCACCCTGTCAATTAAAGAATTTAGATATTTCGCAGAGAGAATGTGAAACCTCTTTAGGACAGTGATATCCATCCCTGATGAAGCGGCAGCAGCCATAGCGACCCTGAAATTAAACCAGACAGTGGAAAGTTCAGCCTGACTCCACGAAGACAGGGCACGCGTTTCATTTGCCTCTGCTTGGACTTGCACCTGCAGCTTGCTGATGATTTCCGACTTGGTGATGGCCACCAGGTCGGCATCCTCCACGGCAAAAGCAGGGAATGAAATAACGGACAGAAGGCCGGCATCTATCTCCTTGGAAGTTGAGGCTCTTGGTAGCATGGAGCAGAGGATGGCCTGAGGGAAAACACACGCAGACACGCTGAGGGCTTGAACGAAGGTCCGAGCTGCCGCTGGGATGTCTGGAAGTGAACTCGGCGGTACCTGACAGTGCTCCACCTCGTCTGGTAGAACGTGAATGACCGACTTCGGCCCTCCGTGAGCCCCGAACAGATCCAGCTCGTCGATGGCCTCCAGAGCTGCCTGAAAACATCAGCCCGACTGTAAATACTGGCACCGGATCGCTTAAAGACAGTGGAAGGAGAAAATGGCGCTCCTGTACCTTGGCCATTCCTACAGAGCTGCCGTTGAGCTCGGGGATGCCCTGGTTGGTCTTATCACCTCGCTCCCACATCCCATAATCCTGCAGGAATCAGATACTCACTACAACACTTGCTGTGTAACATGTTTTATCCTGATTATTAAGCATGTGGTGGATAAAAATGATAAAATGCTGCTATTCTCTCTTTTTTAAGAAGCTTCAAACAATGCTGAGCCAAAGTCTCGAGTCAGATCTTATTTAACTAAATTAAGTTTCCAAAAAACAAAGGATGTCAGCAATCCTTGGAAGTGGTCTTGAGCCGTTTTATACCTGAATCATTTATAACTCACGATTAAGTGGCTAAAGAAGCAAACAAATAATCCTGTGTAAAACTGTGAGTGACAAAACCAAATAAAAGCCTGAGGAGTAATGATTAAATTGCTACAAAATACAAAAGATATCAGGACTGCTTTCATGTTAACTTATTCAAATTCAATCCAAAATTGAATTTTCCAAAGGGAAATGAAATGTTGTAACTCATTTAACTAGTTATTGTAGATGGTGATGGATGTGGACAGGAAAGATCTCCTGTAGCGGTCTGTATTACACCCAATCAGAAGAAGCCTCTGATTGAAGACACCCTTTTTTTCTCTCTCCCGCTTTAATTTCCCCTCCTAATTTGAATCTGATGCTTACCGCCACTTTGTAAGCTGCCTCAATGTAGAAAACTAAGTTCTGGATAAAAGCTACTTCATCAAGGTTGGAGATTATTTGGAGACCTGCGTGACAAAACAAAGAAAATGAATTAAACTAAAACTGTGTTCCCTTGATGACTTATGCAGGAAATGCTTTAATCGGTATGAGATCCACCTGAGGCTGTCATCTGCGCCAGCATTAGCAGGTAAATGGAGGTGGCGTCCACCTGCAGATGGCCCCACTGGTCGTCCCTGACCACTGTGCTGCAGGTGGCTGTGTTGTATTTGGCATGCAAGCAATCCTTTGTACTCTGGGTGTGTTTAAATTTCTCCACCTTGTCCACCTGAAAACACATAACATAAGCTAGGTGGGGGGCTAAGTGAAACCTAACAGGACCATCACAACCAAAGAAACCCAAAGGAAAATGAAAGAAATTTGATTTTCCATTTCCACACTTGATGATTTTTTTTTAAACTATTTTTTGGGTCTGTAAATATCCTTCTTTTAAAATGACCAAGTAGAGAAGCAACCATGAAGCCAATGTGTCTTGAAAGAGCATCTACAGTAACCAAAGTGGTTACCATGGAGACTCTGGAAGCAGGTTTGATGGAGAGAGTTTCCGTCAAACCAGTCAAACCTGATGCTTAAAGCAAGTCCTCTTTCTGCTTGAGAGTAAAGGATTTGGTTTTTTGATAACCTCCTATATTAAAACATTTTCAACATAGATTTTAAATTGATATAAAAGGCCAAATGAAAAAAAAAACGTAATACTTGTTTCATCATGCGGTTAGCAAACAAATCACATAACAAACTTTATGATGCACTTTCTTTCGGCAATATTTTGGCACAGTTAAGTCCAGAATTAATCATATCCCTGGTAGATTTAGATTTAAAATCATTTTCAGTCAGGAGAAGCTTGTTGATCAGAAATGAAACAGACATCTCTCAAATGATAGTAAAATGATGTAAAGGGGGTATAATTTTTTAAAATATGTTTATAATTTACAATTTATGAAGGAAAAAAAAAATTTTTTGCAAAGAAATGTAAAATGGCACCAGGATGCCGACTAGTGAAGATCCTTCCACCACCAAATATAATAACATACGGAGCTGCAGCGTCTTACCTGTCTCGTCATGCACTGCAGCAGGCCCTGCATCAGCTTCACCACACTCTGCCAAATAACAAGATAAGTACAAACAGATACAACTGTAAAGCTTTAACACTTTTACATTTTATCTAATCTAAGCGTTAAAGAAAGATAAGCGTAAAGCTCTCATTAAATGTCCTGCTACTTAATGAGCAAGAAATGATTTTCTTCTTATAGAAAAAAAAATAGTAATTCTGCCTTATAATTTGAAACTTTATGCACCAGATTTTTAATAACCTTGTTGTAAGATTTGTAAGCTATTCAGCACGATGTGCATTTTTTTGTTGTTGTTGTTGTCATTTTTTATTAAATGAATTTAGTTCAAATGAAAATGCAAGATCCACCATTTTTCTAGTGTTTGCTGTTTCAGACTCTATCACTCTCCGTGAAAAGGCCTTTTCTTTTGATGTACCTGCTCCAGTTCGTAGGCCTTGGCTTTGTCTTCATCGCGGTCGGCGTTCTTGCGATAAGCCATGCCCAGCCCCCACACAGCCAGGACGCTGTACACGTTATCCCTCACCCAGGCATCCTTCTTCTGGATGCTGGCAGGGAGAAGTCCAGTCACTGGGTTCTGAGGGAGGAAGAGTCCAGCATACAGTCAACAAGTACGCTGAATGTGAGCAATTATACGTGGAAAATATACAAGGTTACAGCTGTTTCATTTCCACACTGACATATTTTTTAATTTACATTTTTTTTATATAATTCCAAGTCATCTTTAAGATATTCCTTATTACTGTGAAATTTCTATTGTTTTAAGCCAATTAAACACAAAAGTTCACTCAAAATGAGTTTTATGGTGGATATTTTAGAAAACTCAGGAAGGAAAGAAAGAAGTGAAGATGTAAAGAAGTAAAGAAGGAAGGAAAGATATAAGGAAGGAAAAAAGAAACCAGTGAGGATGTGAACACACAAACAAAGGAATGAAGGAAGGACCAAAGAACCATTGATGGATTAATGGAATGCAGCTATTTTTCATCCAGTATTTTCTTTTTCTCGTACCTATCCAGATCTGTAAAACACTTCAGCCTGTACTTTTCCTTCATTTCTAGTATAGACACAAGTTCCTTTTTTCCCCCCCGCAGAGCAACAATGCACGCACACACAAACACAAAGCGATTACATACAAACATGACAAGAGACCAACAACAAGGCCGAGTCAACACTGTCAACATTTCCAGCTAAAAATGACACCACTACAGTCGGCACTAGCTGCTTCAGAAAACACTGCCTCATAACTTTTCTGTTTCAAAATCCTTCCTTATCTTTTGTTTTTAGTTGATATTTTTTCATGAGAGTGATTAAATCAGTTATTGATCCATCTGCTGCAGATGGCAAGAGTACACACAATCTCAACTTCTGCCTAAGTGCAAGTACTTTCAAGGAAAACAGAGATAAAGAGACGCAAAAGTAAGGAAAAGTCTGAAAATAGGCATTAAAGTGAAAAATTAGCAGCTGAAAATGTTATAAAAGTTATTTTCATTTTTTTCTACTTCAAACTAAACTGTACTTAGCTAACCCTCAAACCTAATTAAATATATTTAGAAAATAGATAAAATGTTAATGATTTGTAAATATTCACCCAATAATCTTCTTCTTACTGGCCACTTTCTGCACGAGTATGCTAAACTGTTCTTCCTAATTTACAGCTAAGTCTGTCTTTTATTCTCATTAACAGATAGCATAACTGAACATCAATAAAAGACAAACGAAGTGTCCCTTTAATATAGGAGAATGCACAGTGCCTTTCACCTTGAATACAATAACACACTAGTTTACACACAGTAGCTTCAGGCCAACCTGTTTTTAAGCTAACACCTTGTTATGCAATGTATAACAGAGCATGGGAAGTCGACCCTGTTTTCTGTCAGCCGTGGACCCTCAGGGTCCCAGTTTCACTCCGCCAGTTTTTGACCGTGTCAGTGTGAACTCAGGAGCTGTTAGTTAGATAAAGGTGCATCGCTTCCCAGGCCTCAGCTGATTCCCAGAACTGAACTTTGTTCCTATGTTGTTTATTTCTCTGTGCAGCTGCTGTGGACGAACTTTAGCCTTTACAGGCAGCAAAACATCTACATATCTACAGTATTCCTGCACGGAGCAGGGGGAATATTTGGTTACAAAGGCAGAAAATGAGAGAACCATTTCAAACAGCCAACCAGAAGAGCGTCAAGCATAAAGTTGGAAAATATATTATCTGCCAACATTCGCAAGAGTTTGCCTTGTTTTTTTTTTAAGGATATTGTTTTCTTAGGGTCTTGTTAGTGTTGTTTTGTTGTTTTTACTCTACTATATTTTGAGGTTATGCATTTTACTTAGAAGTTCATCAAAAGTGCATTGTGAATGTTGTCAATTATTCATGTTTATATTTGTATTTAGATTAACAAAAAATAAAAAGGCATGCTGCAGAAATGCACCAATCAGGTGTGCACTGGTTGATACTCACTCCCAGGATTTGTTACATTTTGGACTTATTGACTGTAATTCTACCACTTCCAATTTTTCTTTCAGGTGCTAAGCAAAAGCAAATAATGTGCTGGGTTGATTTTGTATTGATGAATTTAAAAATCTAAGAAAAAATATATTTTCAATTTTTCTGTTTTTGATGTGCCAATCACCAAACAGAGGCAATCAAGGGAAAACTGTCAGATACCAACTGACTTTTTCATATGTAAAATAATATATATATATATATATATATATATATATATATATATATATATATATATATATATATATATATATATATATATATATATTGTAATTGTCTCACTAGTTCACAGAAATATGTACAGAAAAGAAGAGGACAGACTTCATTTAGATAATTTGCTTCATAAAAATGTACTTTTTGACATTAATCATCACAGTTGTAACATGTAATAACCGATGTTACCATTACAAACTTCAACTTGCGTTCAGATATTTATAAACTAGTCCAGCCTGGTTACCCAACATTAAGCATACAACAAGTGGATTAAAGAGTCAGCCTGGGGATTCACGGGTTATTAAGGAAAGTTGGAAATCACTGCAGTCATTTTGTTTTGCATTAATGAAATACTGCAGTTTTCCAGTATTTCATTGAAATGATTTCCTTCACTGGACAACTACATGTGTCTGAACCCACCTGATGACACAGGATAGTCTCCTGGACCAGCCTGGCATATCCGTCCAGCCTCACTCCTGAATTACTGCGGCTCCTCATCCTCACGGATAACTGCGCAAAGTGTTTTCCGTAGACTCCTAAGGCTTCAGCATTTTTTTTTTATCTCACCGTTAAATATGATAAAAGAAAGTTAAATTTAGCTTCGTGACTAAGCTAGGTTTCTACGCAACCACCCCATCTTTCATGTCCTGCAGAGCCTGTTTGACCTCCGCAGAGGCTACTCAAGCTGCTAAAAAGCTGGCTAGCATTGTAGCATCCAGACGACTAATAAATAGCTCCTAACTCCGGGTTTACTGTCCGTATTCACGTCCAGGAATTCAGCTGTCGCGGGAAAAAAGTTGTTGCTTTGGAGTGTCAGAGCTTGTGGATGACTCTGAGTGAGTCAGGCGGCGTATGCCTGTACATCCATTCTGTACATTGTGTTCTGGATTTATCACAGTCTACCGACAGAGGGCGCCAGACTCCTATGCTGTTGATGCTGTTGTATGTGAGCAGCATGATAATAAAAGCCTGTGATGTGTCGAGGGCCAAAAGTGTCACAGTGCATATAAATCGATCGTTTTTGCTAAATTAAAATTCATATATGTGCTAGTTTAAATAGCACATATATATTATTTTTAATGCATTAAAAATAACGAAATAAGCTACATACATATGCTGAATTAAATAGAAAATGTAATGATTAAATCAAATTAAAATTAAATGTCAATATTTAAATAAGAACTTATGCATGCATTAATTTTGGTTAATATATCTTATTTAAATGGTAACACATACAAATATTTGTATTTTTATCAATATATTTGTTGAATGACTACTGAAACTTGACACCACAGTTCAGTGTAAAGATAATTCTGTAAAGAGGACAGGACCAACATTCCTTCACAAAGATGTCAAAGACTTCCATAGTTGCCAACCGTGAAAGAATTCGGTAACACTTTATTTGAAGGGGGTTGAATAAGACTGTCATGACACTGTCATAAAAACCTGTCATGAACATCAATAAGTCTTCATGAATATTTATGACTGTTGTCATAAAGCGTCATTCGGTAAATTATGACACTTTTAATACAAAGTTGACATGATTCAAAATGCCTTTGTTATGACAACTTGACATTAACTAAGAAATCATTACTGTTTAAACTTTACCTTTAATAACATAAAGTTACCTCATTTTTAAAGTGCAATCAGTAATACTTAACAAATTTATATCAGTAATGATTTCTTGGTTAATGTCAAGTTGTCATAACAAAGACATTTTGAATAATGTCTTTGTAGCTTAAGAGTAACGTCTATTTCTTGTATAATTACCTTTTACTTTCATAATTGTTCTCTCAAAGTATTTCTCCTAGTTTTAGTTATAAATGCTATCGTTACTAAACAAAGAGAAGCGAAATTAAGTACACAGTAAACTTTCAGCCACAGCAGTCAGTAGTTATCCTCAGTTCCACATTAACGTCATGACTAACGGAACCTCAGAACCAATCAAATTGTAGAGCCGTGACTTTTCCAGCCAATCACAGCGCAGCTGGTGTGTCAACAGTATCCGCTAGGCAGTTTAGCATCAGGCTGAACGGGAAGCTAAGCTATAGAAACCTCTCTCGTCTTGTTTTGATTATGTGTTGAGCCTTAATTTTCTGAAGCTGCAGCCGGTCAAGTCTCTAACTGGAAGGTCAATTCCAATGGTAACGAATCTTGTCTTTGCCATCTTGTTTGTGTTGTAACTAGATAATCGTCGCAGGAGGGGGGCGCAAATGTCAGGTAACGTGGTGTTGATTTTAAAATCAGGCAATTAAGAGCGACATTAGCTGATGCGAGCCAATAAAACGTAAAGCAAAAGCCCCCAAGGCGAACAATGTACAAGATGTGGTCCAAATTTGATAAAAATTTTAGTGTCATATTGTTATTGTTAACATATCATTCATTTCCTGCAACTAGCACATTTCAACTTATTGCGACAAATGAGTTTTTCTGTCACATAAATGTTTTTCGTTCGTTTTATACTATATATTGTGGTTTGTGAGTTTAAACCTAAAATAATAATAATTCAAAAAATCCCCCCATCCACCGTTCGGTTACATTTGCCTCAATGTCTCTCACCGATTATGATTCATGCTTGTCTCATCCATGGATCTTAACCCCTCAGATGCAGTTCATGCTGCTGTTCAGCCGGCAGGGGAAGCTGCGGCTTCAGAAATGGTATGTCCCTCTGTCTGACAAGGAGAGGAAGAAGATCTCCAGGGATCTGGTCCAGACCATACTAGCCAGGAAGCCTAAGATGTGCAGCTTCCTGGAATGGAGAGACCTCAAGATTGTGTACAAAAGGTAGATGATGTAAAAAAAAAAAAAAAAAAAATTTTTACATAACAGGTCCCAACTGTTGTTGCGATTTAGTATCAAAAGTTCTATTTTTATATCTATAAACCTTAACGCCAGTGTCTTCTAATTCAGTATGTAAGGTAAACAAAAGTACTTTCACTAAACAGTAGTGCTGTATTGTCGTTTTATACAGGGACTACTTGGACACGCTTTTATAATTTCAGTCTAGTTTATTGTGTTTCAATATGTTCTGTTTTTACATTTTGTATATGCAAAACCTCTAAATATTGTAAATCAGTTCTTTGGATTGAGCAAAAATTACTCCAGCATTGACACATTCCTTTAAGCTGTGGAAAAAAAACAATAAAAGGCTAACTAAATCTTTTCCAAATGTCACTGTTGCATTTCCTGCCTTCATTGTTTTGTTTTGGGTTTTTTTTCTAGATATGCCAGTCTGTATTTCTGCTGTGCTGTCGAGGATCAGGATAATGAGCTGATCACTCTGGAAATTATTCACAGATATGTGGAGCTACTGGACAAATATTTTGGCAGTGTGAGTCACACAAACACAATGATGAAATCCTGTTACTGTAAGAAACAAAGTGTCCTTTGTATCTTTTATTATTATTATTATTATTATATATCTCTGCCATGCCATTCCCACACAGGTGTGTGAGCTGGATATCATCTTCAACTTTGAGAAGGCCTACTTCATCCTGGATGAGTTCCTGCTGGGCGGAGAAGCTCAGGAAACCTCCAAGAAGAACGTGCTGAAGGCCATCGAGCAGGCCGACCTGCTGCAGGAGGTACGATCGCTATTTGAACGGGTCCAGTAACACGTGGACATTCGAAGCAAAAGATGATTTAGCAAATTAGAAGTGCAAAATTGACTTCTAACAATAAAAGGTTTGCTTCGCTTTAAGGAAATCCCCATCATTAAAGTTTGTAACTAGAAATTCTTTCCACGAAGAAGAAACCTCTAGTCATTACCTTGTAGAAATTCTTTGTGTATCTATTAAAAGAATTTCCCTTGGCAGTGAACCAAACAGAAGGGTCGCTGTGGCATGTTGACGCATTGCATTTTCCAATGTGCAGCCATCTGCACCTGCTGCCATCTGTTTATTCTAAGCCTGCGGCTCTTGAATTAAACCTCCCCCTCCTCCTCGACGCCCCGCCTGTTTGTGGTGGTGTCCGGCTACGGCCACTTCAAGTTGACAGATTCCCGTCTCAGTGATTTTTATTTTTAGCAAAGCATGCGACGCTGTTGTTGTCGTGGCTCACTATGAAGGCCCGCATGGTTATTACTATTAATTACACTCACAGTAGAAATGCAGAAGATATGTTTTTGTTTCTCCCCTGCAGGAAGCCGAGGCACCGCGGAGCGTGTTGGAAGAAATCGGGCTGACATAGATCACGCCGCCGCCGCCGCCGCTTCTTGCTGCGACCCACAGATGCAGATCTGTCCACATCCACGTCTTTGTGTCCTTTCCTGTCCAGTGTCGGTGTTGTATGTATGTAATCAGCATCATTGTACTGCTCTGTACTGTAACGATCATTCAGTGTGGTGCCAAATGTAGTGTTTGTGTGTCTCCGCTGTCCCGACTTCCCGTAAAGTATCCCATAGTGTTTCTCCCAACCTCTTAACTCAACAGAGAAAATGTAGCACTAACATCACAACTCCAGCATGTTTAGATCCTCCTTTGATCATTGTTTGCACAATTAGTAATTAAGACTTTTTAAGTGCTGCTGGTGCCTCTTGCATACTACAAACACCAGGAAGGTTAACGCAGCGAAAAGCTGTTCTTTAGTCGTTTTCTGAATCCTCGGCTGTACAAATTGTTCGCCGTTACAAAGTCCTGGTCCTTTCGGTTTTCACTAAAGCAAAGTAACTCAATTCAGCAAACTTTGGGGAGGGTGTGGTTTAAAATCATTTGACCACTGCATGTGCAGTCTTGGTAATAAATCTTATACTAAAATGCATTTGTTGGGTTTAAATGCTTGTCTCAAAGAACATGAGAAGTTCCCATTTTGTGCCATTTGTTTTGTTTTGTTTTTTAGATAAAATGCAGACACTCTGTTGTAAAGTATTCCTGTAGTATGAGGCACCAACTTAGGTCAGTATTTCAGTACCCTTTGTACCTGTGTAGATCACAGCATCAGTATTGTTTTCTGTGTTCATTTGGACTTTTCACAGATATGAACCGTTTACATATGTTGGGACTTTGTGGTCTTTGATTTTGCAGCGGCTCGCTAAGCTTTCTGTTCTCTGTATTGCTGTTTTCGTCACGAGTATGGATCATCATATCTCCTTTATGAAAGGGTTCAAAGTGAAATATGTTACATTTCTGTGATCAATCTTCACTGGGTCTCTTCTCCAAGTCTTCAGGACAGGATAGTGACTTAAAAATAACAGCTTCATAACCACTGATAAAAGGTTTGGTTCGTTCTTCGACTCACCTGTGACCAAAGAACACTGTGTTTAACCTTCTTAATGGCGTCTAAAAGAGAATGCCATAAAAAAGGGACCTCTAACAAAGTATGTGGGCACTATTTGATTACAGATGACTGTATTTTATATTCCTATCTCACAACTACGTAAACTTTGTGGAATAGTAATTATGAGCATACGAGATGCAAAGATATCCAAACAGGTGTTTAATGCAGAAGAACAAGATGGATGCTCATCTTAGCCAATGCGTGTTTCTTTTCTGCAGTCTCAACCCCATTATTTGAACAAAACCATCCTTGATTTGAGCTGAATGACTTGTTTTATATTTAACACTGCCAACAGTTTTTCTTAAATCTGAAACAATAAATGTATTCAAGGACAACCAATTCTGATGTTTTTCTTTCTACTGAAGAGCCAGGAAGTGCTTCAAATCCCAATACCAAGCATTTATTTTAAAATGTATCCAAGTTATTCACGTGTCTACGAGCTAAGCCGCGCTTAAAAAGCTGTCTGAATTGTGTTATGAAATATATTTGACCATTTCATAACATAATCTGAACAACACAGAGTCTGTAAAAAGCCTTCACCAGAAAGATATTACTTAATCCATGAAGCATCCATGAAATGTTTACGGTATTGATGTTTACACTACTTATTCTGATGATGCTAGCAGTGAATGACTGATTTTAAAGACGAAATTAAGAAATGTCCCCGTTTTCTGTCGGTTCAGTCTTGATTTCAGCAGAGGCCTCGATTTTCACCTCCGAATCCAAATCGTTCTGACCAGCACATTTTTCCTGAGTTCCCTCTTCTTCTTCTTTAAGGCCTCCACTCAGACTTTGTGTTGAAGTCTCTTCTTCTGAGTCTTTCTCACTTCCAGATTCCGTGGAGGAATGTGTCTTTTCAGATGAGAGCCTTTTCTTTTTGTGTTTCTTTTTGCTCTTCTTGCTTTTTTTGGAGCGTTTGTGATGACGGTGGGGTTTTGTACCATCAGAAAGACTTTTCTCTGATATCTTTGGGCTTCTTTCTCTGCTTTCTTTGTGTCTCTTTCTTTCTCTACTTGTGCTTCTTGATCTCTCCCTCGTTTCTCTTTGAGGTTCGCCGACATCACCTCTGTCTCTGTATTTATTCTCCCCCTCTTTATCTCTACGCTGCTCTCTGTCTCTGCTTCTGCTCCTTGATCTGTCCCTACTCTTGCTCCTACTCCTGCTCCGGCGCCGGTCCGTCCTCCTGTCGCTGTGTCGCGATCTAGAAGACCACCTGTCTTCTCTGCGCTGGTGGGACGTCCTCCTCTCTCTGCTCCTGCTCCTCTCCCGGTCGTCCTCCCACCGTCTGTGGGATCGCTCTGATCTTGCCGGGCTCCGGCTGCAGCGGCGCTGCCTCCACGGTCGCTCCCTGTGGCGCTCCGAATGCCACTCGGCCCTGCGACTCCCCCTGATGCTGCGATCGGGGGACATCTGGAGGTCCCTGTCGGCCTCCCAGAATTCGTTGCTCGGGTTTCGAAATACGTGCAGAAAGTTACAGTTTTTGCCTTTAGGGCACTTCTGTCTGTCAAACAGTCCTAACGAGAGAGGAAAAAAAAAAATCATGAAACAGTCAACGCACTGAAACGAATGTTGTTTCTCCGTCCTTAGGGAGACACGTGAAAGCTAGCTCACCACATATGGCGTTCTTCCACCGTGTAACAGGACAGATCTCACACTGAAGCTGCCGGCCTGCATACCACCTCCCATTGAACTTCACAAAGGCCTCTTTGCACAGCTCCTCTCTGGGCACGAAGCCAAGACAACAGGACATGTAATGGCTTCATACCACTTGAGCTTTTTAACGAATTGTCTTCACAGCCGCAAATTTAACATGTTTTATTCTAGATCAAGTCTGACATAAAAGAAGAATGGAAAAAACAAACATCTAGTAACCCGCAAACTGATAGGCTTTTGGGATACGGCTCAACAAAGAGGTTCAACAAAGTGTTGACACAGAGAGTTGAATATAAATACACGCCATACTTTTTAGATTTTGAAGCCAGGTATAATTTTCTTTCCACTTCACAATTATCACTTATTCTGTGCACTATATCGCATAAAATCTCAACAAAAAGCAGAATTAAGCAGCTTGGAAAGACAAAACGAGTAACTTACGTGTCAAACTGAACGTAAACATTCCCTCTCAGATGTGGTTCATGATTGCAGCAGACCTAAGAGAAGAATGATCAGCGTACGTTACAAACTACAATAACTAAAAAAATCTGGTTTTCAGACCATTAAATACATTTTCAGTGAACACTCTTGTCTCCCGTCACCTTGAACTGCACCACTTTGCCGATGCTCTTGAACTCCGGCAGAACGTCGTGGTAAAACTCGAGGAAAGACTCCAGCAGCTCCTCCTCGCTGTGCTCCAAACAGGCATCCATGTCGTAATCGTCCCGCCGCGACTCCTCCATCCCAAACGTCTTGAACATACCGCGGACCAGCAGGGTCGGGCTGGAAGTCGGATAGATGTGCTTCCGAGAACACCTGCGCTTACGGATTGAAATAAATGAACAATTACAAAGAATAGTCCGTTCAGGTAAAGTATTACTGGCAATATATTTTAGATTTAACTGATATGCTATATTTTTAAAATAAATAAAAAGACACAAACAGAACCTGTCTCCAAATCGGCATGCTCCCGTCTTCAGGAAAAAAGGGCAGTTGGCAACGTCTCGCTCTGTTCCGAAGTTTTCCGAGTTCGTCATTGCCGGAGCCTCGGGATTCATCCACGGTCCTCCATTTTCCAGCTAAAACAAAACAAACAAACATATGATCTACCTAGGAAGTCAAAAGACACATTTCAGCTTTGAGTCTTCAGTAGCAAAAAGAGCTGACCCTGGATTAAATACCACATTTTCTGTCTCCTACAGATACAAAAGGTTTCCTGCTCTTTTAAGTGACACATATGTTTTGTTTTTACCTGATTCTCGGCTTCATCCAACCTTTTCTGAACGGCCTCCTACAAATGTTTTAAACACACGATTTGTGAAAAACGTGAAGACGTCAACATACTGCAGCATATCTGTTATCGGGGGTTAAGAGTTCATTCACAAAGCCTGACAGGCACACAAAAAATTTTTTTAAAAAAATCACCCAAGATATCAAGGAAACTTACAGATGTATCAATCAATTTTACATACAGTCCCACACAAAGTAAAAGATACATTCTTGATGTGCAAGCTGAAGGTGTAAGCTTTTTTTTTCTCTTTGAGTGTGTCTTAGGTAAGGAACATGATGGTTGCTTGTGCCACAAAGTCAAGGAAAAGTAATAATCATTCACAGAGCAAAAATCTGTTCATCTGATGAACTTATTGTATTTATTTTTTTTGATAAGTTAGCAGCCGAGGATATATTGCTTTAATTTTCTATCCTCCTGGAGTCCGTTTCACCTCTCTGTCGCGCTTCTCCCGCTGCTTCTGCTCCTTTTCCTCTTCTTCTCTCCTCTGTTGGGCCTCCCATTCCTCCCTTATCATTCGCTGTGAATTCAAGAACAGTGACCATTTGAAGTCTGCATCTATGACATAGATCGCTTATCCATTTTGCCCGTTCGCTCACCAGTATCCACAGAATTTGTGTTTGACGGGTGCAAAATAAACTGCACAAGTCACATTTATTGTATATAACATAGCAAAACAACAAAAAAAAAGCAATGGGAAATATTACCGTTTTCTGCCAGGAAAATAGTTCTAAGCCCAACTTATTTATTGTTCAAATATGGTGGAAAAAGGAGAGAAAAAAACAACGAATGCGTTTTCTGACAGCAACAAATTTGTGCAAACTGGCAACTTAGCTTCTTCCTTTCTACCTCAACAGGAAATTACCTCCTCCTCCTCTACCTCATCAGGAAATTACCTCCTCCTCCTCTTTTCTTTTCCTTGCAGCTTCCTCCCTCTCTGTCCTCAGCCTGAATTCCTCCTGAGCCAGCCTCTCTCTTTCCAGCCACTCTTCATGTTGTCGCTGTCTGGAAAAAAATAAACACAGGATACAGTTGAGGACTGATTTACTGAAGTTTTTGGCAGCTGCAGGACACCAGAGACAGAAGTGTTGACCTACCTTTCATCCTCAGCAGCCTTGTCCCCCTCACTATCTCCTTCATTCACCTCACCCTCTTCTTCAGCGTCATTTTTCAATTCTACAATAAAGCAACAAGAGACTCAGAGACTCCCATCAAGGCAACGACGAAATGTATGTTGTCAGTAAGTCTTAATAGGGTTTGTACCACATTCTCTGGCTTGAGCAAGAGCTTGTCGTTTGCGTCTTCTTCTCTCCTTCCTCTGTGCAACTCTTCGCTGCTTCTGACTGTAAGTGTAAAAAAACAGCAACAAAACAGTAGCATAAATACACCACACAGCTGTAATAGAAGAGCCGTAGAGACAGTAGGCTCGACTCTGCTGGAAAGAATTGACTAGATGATATATTCCTATGTTGATGGACTGCATGAACAGGGTGATGACAACCGACATGCTTCAACGTGCTTTTGAAAATTGCCCGGTCCAGGGCAGCGATAGTTTTTATTTAAATAACTGGTCGACTTGTGTTTACAATTTAGCTTTTATTTACTACTTATTTTAACAAGATAAAAGAAGTAGAGTTTCAAACCTTAATGTAGAAGTAGAGACAAGAGGAGTAGTGGAGGCTGCCATTGAAGCTAGCAGCTGCTAGCTAAGCTAACGTTAGCAAACAACTCTATTTTAGAACGGGTTTTAATATTCTCCCTGATTAAGCTGCGAGTTTTTATCAAGGCCTTAGCTAGTATAATCATAATATGTACGTAATTGTACAATGAAAAGAAATGCGATTATTCAATGTCTGTTGGCTACAGGCGAACTAGTCTTCTTCTTCTTTCTCGTTTGTTGGCGGTTTGTAAGCAACCTTGTGGTGCTTTACCGCCACCAACTGGCTTGGAGTAAACCACTATGTCACTGATACCAAATAAACCACATAATATTAAAATATGCAGTGGCTCTAATCCTACACTATAAATAACTCCAAAATTAAATCAGTTGATTTTTTTTCATTTCTGATTACAACTTATTTTTATGAAGTCTTATAATTAGTATTTCCCTCTCATTCACTTAGTATAGTCAAAAAAAAATTATGTTTTACTGTTTCTACTCTCCAAAAATCAGAGCAGGCAGAATCATGTGCAAATGACAGAAAGAGGCTCTGGAAAGTATTTCCTTTTTTATCATCCAAAGAATAAATAAACAAAATAATCATTTAAGCATTTTAAATAAAAAATAATGTTTTCAGTAGTTATTCTCATAAAATCCCATTTATATTCTTATCTTGCACTGTTTATTTGCCATCAAAATACTTTACAATGAACACACACACACACACACACACACACACACACACAAATGTTTAAAAATCTGCAATTTATCAAATATTTATTTTTACAAAAACCTGCCCACAACAGTTATTTGACCAATTCAATCATTTAAAAGATTGCTCTGGGGAATACAGTCATTATAGTGACTGACTTTGGATGGACATGTAGAATTTATGCAAACAAAAAGACATCAGAGCTAAAAAATATATGTTCCTGTCCATTTTTTTAAAACAATGGGAAACAAGTCCATTTTAATTTAAATCAATAGATAAAGTAGCATTTGAACATCATTGCATTGAAGTTGTCCATAAATCTGTGTGTTTTTTTCCATATTGAGGTGATAATGTGGTATTTGCAAGGAATGCATCAGCAAGTAGTTCTGAATTATATTGAGAATTGGATTTAAATGGAAAGACACAAATACACAAATTATTTTTTTGCCAATTCAAATCTTAAGCCCATAAAGCAAATACTTAGGTAGACAAAAACACAGAATATATTATGACAAATAGTTTAAAAACCACAAACATGTTTTTAACTACACAAAATACACTTCTTCACATTTACAGCATGAACTACCAGACATGGCACCGATTCAGTTTTCTGTTTAGCACACACTTTAAAGAGGGTGGAGGGACCCCAGCTCCAAAACCAGAAACTGTGGGTAAATGCAAATATAAATCAGGGCTTTGCAAGTTATTCTGGCGTTTTTAAAGGCATCCTTGCACTCTGTAGTGTGCCTCGTCTGTTTCAGAGGTGCAGAGTCATTGTTTTTTTTTTGCTCCCTTTGGCTTGAGGAAGAAGGCTGGTTGCGTGCAGCAACGGTAGCACAGAGCATGAGGCACAAGAGCATACAGGACATTAACAAGCAAGAAGACAGGCTGACTGTCAGCCGGTACTCTGTAAGAGAACGGTGTCCGTGTGTGAAGGGATGCACCAATGTGAGAGAACTGGGCCTGTAAAACAGAGCAGAAAAGGACGAAATGAGAGATAAGTTACAGCGAGGAACAAGCAGGGACATACTGCTAGGACTTTAAAAGAATTACATGAAACTTGAGACATTTAAGGACGTAAAAGGCAAAGTTAAAGCAAACGAGATTTATAAATGCTGTTGCCTTTTCAAAAACCAGTCAAAAAACAAACAACAAAAAAAACACAATGTCCAGAATCATTGTCATTATAACCTGATATGTTTAACAAAAGAGTTTTTTATGGCAGAAAGGGCAAACACTGGAAAGTCTAGACATGGGATGCGGATACACTCCTTCCAAAGAAAGCAGATATTTTTTTAAACAGTGGGCTGAGAATGAAACCTTGAGGAACACCATCTGTGCTATTTGAATTTATAGGCGCCATATGACACTAAATAGTTCTTCTTACTGGCAAGTGAGACTTGACCCAATGTAGTGCATCTCAAAGAAAATTATCCTGAACTTTCAATCAGTATGTTTTTTTTTTTTTAAATCATAACAAAATGCAACATTGAACTGAGATCTGATGAAAGTTTCGAATGCATCACTGACCAGATGTATCTTCCAAGTGATTTGGTGAGGCTGAAAACTGGATTTGAAAAGTATTTTTTATAATATAAAAAATGCTTTAAAAATGGAATTAATATGGCATTGTCATAAATCATAATTATATGGGAAGCCTGGGGTCCAGTATTTTCTTTTCAGTATTGCCACATATTAAACTTCAGCACAGTCTATGTTTTCCATGTGAAATGAAGGGTTAACACAACAGGAGAAGATGATGTAATTACAGCTAATATTTTCTGTTAGTAAGCCATTGGATCTAGACGTGTCGTTGTTGACATACCCCCAAATAATTTGAAATGTAACTAAACCCTCCCTGTCATCTTTTCTAATTAAGCTACTGAAAATGGACGTGTTTCATAGCAACCAGGCCTTCGGGACCATCAGTGCTCCTTTTTATAGCCCCCGCTGAACAGTTGACATTTAAGTGAATACCACCAATACCACCATTCCTCTCGGTCTGAAGTCACCTTCTGCCCTTAGTCCCACTGCTGAGTGACGTGGCGGCTTGGAGCTCAAACACAATAGCTGCTTTGTACGGCGGAGATGAGAGTGGTGCACTAGCTGCTGCCGCCAATCTTCACAGCGTTCCAATTTTAGATATGAATAGATGTCTCTATGGTGCTCACTGGTTAATTCACCAAAGAACAAGTCAATGAGTCCAGAAACATTAAAGTAGAAAAAGTTAAAGAGTAACCAAAATGTCACCATGAAGTCACTCTTTTTCTGGCATCTGGTCAAAATCCTTTCCTTTTCCCATAGAACTCTTGCACCTCTGTGTAATAAGGCCAAAACTATTACACTGACATATTAACTCACTATTTTATATGAAGACACAAACTTAACACAGAAACGGATACAATAAAAAAAAAACACCCTGATTAAAGGTGGATAGTTGTAGCCCTTTCAGTAACATTCACAAATGTGGCAGTTGAAGACTTCCTATTTGCTCAACTTAAATCTTTTACACAACCTCCATAAATAGCCTGTAAATAAAGTGAGAGGCTGCCCAACTCTATTGCCACATAACCTCTGCAATACATTCACTTTTAGGTGATCTGTTTAAGGAAATAAGATGTTTCTTCCGGCTGGTTTTGTCTATTTTTACTAAAGGGTCAAGTGGGGTGAACAAAATTAAGTCGTTTATTGTCGATTTTGTCTGTTCAACAAAACTGACCAGCTTCTTTGCATCAACACAGCATAACACTGCTACCGCCATGTTTCTCCATGGGGATGCTTTAAGGGTGATGTGCAGCATTAGATTTCCACCACACAGCATTTGGTTGTGGACCAAAAAGTTAGATTTTTCTCATCTGACCTACTTCTTCCAAATGTTTGGTGTGTTCCCCACAAGGTTTGTGACCAACTTTAGCAATGATTGTTAAATGATTGTTTTCTTACTGCTCTTCCATAAAGACCAGATTTGTGGAGATAATAAATAGTTATTATCTATTTATTAGAATGTCTTTAAGTATTCTTGAATACTTTCTGTTGGTCTCTCACATAAAATCCATCAAAATGCCTGACTGTTTGTGTTTGTAACATGAAATGAAAATAAAAGATAATAACACTTTTGAAATCCTCTGTGTGTGCAAACAAGTTACTACTTCCAGCTGTCCTCAAAATGATCAGTGTTACCTACCTGAGCCAGAGCACCTGAGTGCACAAGAGTCAGATCTGGCACCCATTCACATCCTGGGACCAACAACCCATACAGGGCGATGATGTAGTAGGGTCCAGAATACAGCATGCTCACTAGCATCTGGGGAATGTGAATGCAGTTTAAGACATTAATCGAGATGTGTTTGGACGATGTTTTATCATATTTCATGTCACTGAGTTACCTGGACTTTGGGGTAGGCGGAGGGATCTTTTAGGTACGGCTCAAACTGCTGGGTGTAGTACTCACACCATTTACTGGGACAGTCCAGAACGACCTTCAAAAACAAACACGGGCCACTGATGAATCATTTCATCAGTCCAGGATTTACACTTGTTGATCCTTTCACAGTTTCTTACCAAGCCTCTGAAGACACAAAAGGCCAAAGCTGGGATGAGGCAGACGATAAACAGCAAATCCAGAGGTCTCTGGAGCACGTTTGTCCGCTGTGATTCCTGAATGCTCTGAAAAATGACATTCAACTGGTTTTCAGCTGTCTGTGCTCCTGACATGAGCATCTACAGCTTAATGCACTTTGCTGTCTTCATCATTGAGAGAAAATGACCAAAATGACCAAAGATCACCACTGAGATCAGAGCCGTTGATGAAAAAGTTACATCAGCAATTTGTACTCTTATTTTCTGGAGTAGGATCTATACACATAATGGGTGTATAGGTTGTTATATTTAGGTTCAGATATAAAAATAACTAAGCATTTTTTACATATGAGCAAAACCTGTCAATTTGGTTCTATTTTCCTTAATAATATGAATTAACCAATGGAAGTATAAATCTGCAGTCATCAGTGCTTACTAAATTAGAGGTTTAAGATAAGTATGATGACCTGGAAGAATTTAATCTTCAATTAAATGTATTATTATTATTATTATTATTATTATTATTATTATTATTCCCACTTATTAACAGAGTGGGTGGCAGGGCTTTGCTGTTCCTTGTTATAGAGGCTGTTAGCTACAGACATGTTCTTGCTGTTTGTATTTTTAAGTTTGGAGTGAAAATGTGCAGAAATAAAAGTTCATTTTAAACTGCTTCTGTTTCCTTTGTCTTTTATTTTTGTGTCAGAAATGCTAAAGTGTTGCTTTTTATAAGACAAAGTCAGCATGTGAAAGAAATTTGCGATATAGCCTATTCTCATTTTGACCACTTATTTCAGACAGAGATTCACATTACGAGCACAAATCTGCCTCACATTTATGTTCAGATTGTTACAGCTGAGTCTGAGAATCATAGTTTTTCCATGTGTAATTAATTTTGAGGCAATGTAATGCCTATATGTTATAATTAGCACCATTTCCCTGAATGTTTATCCCTGGAACTTAATTACCCCGTGTTTTCCATCGCTCCCTCCAGATCAGATTCGACTTCTCTTTAGTTCTGCCAAGAACTCAATAAACTTGTAGGTTTTGTTTCCAATGTGCAAAAGAATCACTGAGGAACTAATAACCACACTTCATAAAAATCCAAGCTAACCCTTTGAAATCTGTTATTTATTCACATTCTGCGTGGGTTTGGTGGGTTTTTTGAAAAATCAAAGGCAAAAATCGTTTTTTTGCCTTTGATTGGTTAACCCTAAAAGTCCTACAATATTATTTTGACCACAGAATTTACTCCTTGTGTCTTCACAGACAGCCGGAGGCAGAAGTCATTGGTATAAACTATTTTACACTACAAAAAGGATTAACTGCAGTGGAGTTTAATTGTTTAGCAGCCTATAACATTCATTTTCTACCCCAGTAGTGTGTTTTTTTCACTTGGAACTACAGTGAAATGCTGATGTTGATGAATGTTGTGGTGAATCAGTCTGCTTTCTGGAAACGTTTACTTCTGTGTCTTATATCGTATGCGGAGAGTATTTAGCAGAAGTTGTGATAAAGAGTACACGATGAGATTTGACTGTAGCAGACGACTCAAGTCATCTGTTCAAGTGAGTCAAAAGCAGCACCGCATGTAGAATAATTGAGGATGTGCAGAGGAATCCGGTAACTTACCGTTAACTGGGCATCGTGTGTAGAGGGTTGACTAAAGATCCGGAAACAAGCCCAAACAGACACTGAGATATAAAGCATGTGGAGGACGAAGAGAGGAGTGACTTGGCTACCATATTTTCCTGGAAAAAATAGACATAACAAGATAACGTATCACTGTGAGAAACACAGACTCACTTGAGAATTAAGAGTTGCTCATCTAAAGATACCCCTATTATTTTTGGTATTCTTACCCACAGCGTTCCCAAGAATGTAGACCATGGTGCGCATGACAAAAGAACCCATCCAGTACAGTCCAATCGCTCGGTAACTGTCCCTGCACAAACCATACAAGACCGCTGTTATTACTGCCGGAACCACATGTATCGACACACACTTGGATGGACAGGTCATACCCCCAGGTAATGGCAGCAACCATAAGCAGATACATAAGATAATGCACACAGCCATCCCAATAGGAAATCATATGTCCATGTGCTGTATTAATGTGTGGTTCTGCCTGCAACACAGAGATTTATCTGTAAAATCTATACGGGGAAACATTTCTGTGAGCCACACACTGTACGCACAGCGGTTTTTACCTCTTTGAGGTAAAACGTCACAAAGCCATCAATGATGTTGTCTTGCTCCAGCCCAATGATCAGGTTCACCACGCTCAGGAATGCCAACACTGCATACACTGCATTGAAATCTTTAGTTAGTTTATTAGTGAACAATAATAATAATAATAATCATTTTGTGGTCATGAATAACAAAGTAGTGGATATATTAAGCAGAAAAGGTGTTAAGAGTCAAGACAAGTAAGTCATACCATAGAAAAGAGGATCAACAGGAGCCTTCTTCTTGAGCATAAAACGAACTGAAGTGGTCAGAATGAGGAGTGCTGTGCACCCAACGAAGAAGAAAGCTTCTGCACTGAATATTAAGCAAACATTCTGATGTTTAGAATAAAACAATTTTAATAACACTACACAGACATTTACAGTTTTGCAGTCGCCAAACCGAGTTAGCTGGAATTTTACTTACCTGCTGTTGTAAATGAAATAATTTGATAAATAGCAGAAAGGGATGGACATCAGTGAGAGCATGAACACCCCCGTCCCCGCAGAAGCGCTCATTGTTGAACGTCTGGGGCTTTCTTGAAGAGAAAATAAAATCAACAGAAATCAGCTCCAGAAAAGTCTCCGACTAGTCTGTGTCATGTTTGGAAAAAAGGGCTTTGTTGCAGTCATCAAACTTTCAGTCCTGCTCTCACTTGCGGGCTCAGTCTTGTCCCTCTCGTCTTTCTGGATCATGAATGAGTTTTGTTTTTTTTTTTTTTTTTTCCTTTTTTTTTTTTACCTCTTACCAACGTTAAGGGGCGCTCTCGTACACAACTGCTCATGCTCAGTGAGGCGGACAATCGGCCATGTTTCATGCTAATCAGACAGTTGCAGGAAACAATGCGACCAGGTTAATTTTTCATTATTGTGAGACTATATACTTTTTAAAAACAAGAAACACCGACATCTAGTTGTTGACTATAAAAATCGACAAACACGGCATCATTTCCAAAAGTGCCGCTTTATAATAAAGAAAGGCCAATAAACATTTACACACTATGATTCAAAGCAGTTACGTAATATGAACAAAAGCATAAAGCAAAAAGATACCTGTAATTCCAATCTTGAGTCAATAATGTATCATGCACAGACTTAAATTTCAGGGTTAAATAAATACATGTTAAAAATCGTTGTCTTAGAAGAATCTTTAATTATTTCAATATTTAAGAATTTCATATATCCACATATTTAATATATGCAATATAAAAGTGCACGTAATATAAATAAACATTAAAATTGAGCAACAGACATTTATTTATTTATTATTACTTTGTTTAAATTCTTGTTGATGAATGAGTGCAGAAAATTGGTGGAACTACACGGAGGAGCCCACCAGGGGGCAGTAGTGCGACTTAAACGAGGCCAGACGCCGTCCAATCCAAAACGAGGAAAATGTGTTTTGTAGGAAGTGCGTCTCTTTAGCAACCGAAGAACCTGAGCAATGGCTTCCTGCGCGATGGACAACACGTAAATAAATTAATCACCTCTGCGGTCGCTACACGGTATCATTAGCACTTTGCTGTTTGCAGGATCAGAAGCAGAAAAACTGCTGTGGCTCGTAATGGCCAGCGGCAGCGGATTGGCGTCGAACCAAAGCGGTCCGGAGGCTCCGTCCAACTCGGTACAATGCGGAGCCGCAGCGGCTCTGTGCAACATGCCAGCCTCAGCTCCCGCACCGTCCGCCTCCCCGCCGGGCATCGGCCTTCAGCGGGAGCCCGTCTACAACTGGCAGGCGACAAAGAGCTCCCTGAAGGAGCGGTTCGCTTTCCTCTTCAACAACGAGCTGCTCAGCGACGTCAGGTTCATTGTGGGAAAAGGCAGACAGGCCCAGAGGATACCTGCCCATAAGTTCGTCCTGGCCGCTGGCAGCGCCGTGTTTGATGCCATGTTCAACGGGGGGATGGCCACCACTTCAGCTGAAATAGAGCTCCCTGACGTGGAGCCTGCAGCTTTCCTGGCCCTGCTCAGGTAAGGTGGGACAGGTGATCTCAGACCCCACACTCAGCTTTCAGATTGCTACATACCAGGACTGCACAGAGAACAGAAAAAGTCATTTTCATAACAAAGCAACACAAATTGTTTCCACACTACCCCCCTCGAAAGCCTGCGAGGATAAGCGTGTTAGAAAATGGATTATATTTACGTATTGGTAAATATAATCCATTTTGTAAAACAGTTTAAAACCCTAGATTATTTTCATTCCACAATTCTGCACTACTTTGTTTGATCTGTTGTAGGAAATCCTAATAAAATATACATATTCAAGTTTTTGTTACGTGACAAAATGTAAAGGGAAAAAAATGTCAGTGTAGACAATATGGACTTTAAGTTTCGTCACAATATTTTGTGGGAGTATTGTGATTAGGCCTGTCATGATGACGAATTTTGCTGGACGATAAATTGCCCCAGAAGGTATTGCGATAAACGATTATATTGTTGTTTTGAGATCATTTTCAAGTAATATAAAGGTAATTGTATAATAATGGAAAAGCACATTCTCAAAGATCAATAAACTTTTAATTCTATTGAACATTTAACAGTGGAACTGGGAGACATTTTACATATCCTAAATAAGTAAATAAAACAACAGAAACAAAAAAATAAAATAAATTATAAAGTCTTCTAAATTTATAAATTATAGACACAATTCTTCTTAAAAAATGACTGGCAGAGACCAAAGTACGAGAATGAAGACCAGTTCTTGTAGAGAGAGAAAAGAGGAAAACGATAAAACATGCAAATGGAAATTATTGAGCTTATTTTAATTTATGATCCAATTAATTGATTTATTGTTTATTGTGACAGGCCTACGTTGTAATAACGATAAACGTGGCCATAAAAACTATTTACTAGTTCTTTTTCAAACAACTTCCTGGCTGTGACTGCATGACACAGCAGTCACAGCCCCACAAACATAAACACCGCTCTTGAAACCGTATACATCTATAATGCGCTTCTTTAGGTTACCAGACACATAAAGAAGTAACAGCGCACATTAACTGCATTTAATTACATTTCAATATGTATTGATACTCTTAAAGCAAACAGTGGAGAAGATGCTAAAAATAACGATCCAGACAATATGTACAGTATTTTTAGATATCAACTAGAATCAAAATCAAAATTCTTTTCATGACAAGAAATTTATCGCAATAAAAGATAAACGCCCACCCCTAAACCAAATATACATGAAAATATAGATTTTCTTCACATTTGAAATCGAAGCTTTGGGTAGCTTGGTGAAAATTGTTTATTCTTGTTCTCGCTGTTCTTATTTTTGCTGTGCAGGTTTCTGTATTCCGACGAGGTCCATATCGGTCCAGAGACTGTGATGACGACTCTGTACACAGCGAAGAAATATGCAGTCCCAGCTCTGGAGGGCCACTGTGTGGAGTTCCTCACCAAGCACCTCAGAGCCGACAACGCCTTCATGCTTCTCACTCAGGTTACTGTCGGTCTACGCAGCGGTCTAGTCAATATCTGACAGTAAAGGAACTAAAAACACTGAACAATGTAAATACTCCTCTTGGATGCAAAGTGCCTTTACTCAAACGTGAGATAATGTTCTTTCTAAAGTCATTATTAACTAGTGAGGCACTCAAAGTCTTTATCGGTGGCTGTTTTTATGACATAAGTCACTTGGTCTAATCTCCATTTATATTTTCTTGGAAGATTGAGAGAGTGGCTCCCAGTTTTTCCAAGTAAGCGTTTAATTACATTAGCTGCTCTATTTTGTGTTTATTCCTTCAGGTTTCAACATTTTGTTCTACAGTTGCTTGATATTTCTTTAACATCTTGAAGGACTGCAACGTAAAACATAGATTCTTTCGCAAAACCTAAGCAAAACACAATCCCAGGAGTGATTTCCGAGTGTAATTTTTGGAAATGAACCAATGGTAGTTGAATGATTTTTCCTTATTATCCCTTAATTATCAGGTCATGCACTTAAAGTAATATGATTTTTTTTTCAATTTGTTTATTAAATGCATGAAAAATAAGGTGCTTTGTTTTTCAGCCTCAAGACACACTCACAAAACATCCAGTTCTTACGTTTTAGTTTAGTTAAAATTAGATAACAGTAGAAACATGTGCTTCTGCTTTTAGATAAAAATATATCAGCTCCAGTAAGGAACTTGTAGCACATGTTTAGTGTTTGCTACATCCTTAAAACCTAAATTAGTAGGTCGGACCAAAAAGAAGTGCATGTTTTGATCATTGCAATTTTATTATATTTTAAGCTTAATTACACATTTCCCACAAAACTAGAGTATTGTTACAAATCACAGCATCACAATATATGGAGCAATTTAATCTATAGGTGAACCCATCAATTAACAAATTTTCTCTTGATTTGTGGGTCAGACGGTGAAAATTAGTTTCTTTTTTTCTTATAAAATGCATGAAAACTGAAAACTGCCACCATTTTCAGTCAATATAGTGTTTTTACGCAGCTAAAACATAAAATCTTAAGTATTTTTGTCTTAATTTCTAGTGCAAATATGTGCGTAGTGTTGAAATAAGACAAAATTAAGTTACTAATAACACTTCCACAAGAAACGGGATCCTTGTTTTGAGTTAGTAATTCCTTAATATTGAAAAAAAGTGCAGATTCTACTGGCTTTTTTTTTCACTTAAAACTTAGGAAAATGTCTTATAAACCTTAGATACTTAAATAAAATTTAGACTTACAGAGGTAAGTTTGTAATATAATCTCTCAAAAAAAACCTGCAGTACATATTTTCTCTCTCATGTCTTATGCTTTGTTAGAACGGGGGGTAAATGGCAGCTTAGACTGGAAATTGGCCCTGAAGTGCCTGATTGGTGCATCTCCAATGAAATTATAACGTTTAATTTGATTCATCATATTTCATCACTGGCATGGTTTTGTATTAGTTTTCCATGCTGGCCAAATTCAAATGTATGCACATTATTTAATTGCTGCAGCCAGCCTTTAACAGAATGAATGGCTGTAATCTGAATATTCTGCTCCATTTCACAGGCGAGGTTATTTGATGAGCCTCAGCTTGCCACTCTTTGCTTGGACACTATCGACAAAAGCACTGCAGACGCAATAAACGCAGAAGGCTTCACTGATATCGACCTTGGTATGCGAGTCTTCTTCACACCGTGTGTGCTGCTCCGCCGCTTTTGTTGTAGGATCTAAAAGTGTTGCTTACTCTGTGTGTGTCTGTGTGTGTAGATACGTTATGTGCAGTGTTGGAGAGAGACACACTCAGCATCAGGGAGAATCGTCTGTTCGAAGCGGTGGTCCGCTGGGCAGAGGCGGAGTGTTACAGGCAACAGCTTCCCCCAACCTCGGAGAACAAGCAGAAGGTTCTGGGGAAAGCGCTGCCGCTCATCCGCTTCCCGCTCATGACCGTTGAAGAGTTCGCAGCCGGTATGTGTCCTGGCAGAAGGACCGTTTGGTTGTCAGTGTGTGTCCTGAGCAGATCAGCCGTCACTCAGCACGTTCTTCATGTTTCCTGATGTGTCCATACAGCTCCAACCACAGAAACCAGTTTGATATTTTTTCTTGTGCGACAGGGCCTGCCCAATCTGGAATATTGTTCGATCGGGAGGTGGTAAATCTGTTTTTACACTTTACAGTAAACCCCAAACCACGGGTCGACTACATTGACAGGCCTCGCTGCTGCCTCAGGGGGGAGGAGTATAGCATTAATAGATTCCAGCAGGTTGAGAGTCGGTGGGGGTACAGCGGCACCAGCGACAGAATCAGGTCAGCTTACGTCCGTTAGTCGACGCCGGGCACGAAACCCGTGGCTCGTTTTAACAACTGTTCTCCTGTTTATGTTTCCCTGTAGATTTAATGTTAACAGAAGAATATCCATCGTGGGTTTTGGCTTATATGGCTCAATACATGGACCCACCGACTATCAGGTCAACATTCAGGTAAGGCCTTCAACCTCTGCTCCAGCAGGAGTAGCACGAGTAAAAACGATAAACAAGCTAAAACGATAAACCAGCTAATATTTTTAAATATAGATTTAATATATGTTGTAGGAGTTTTTTTTTTTTTCTCATGGAATAATTGCATTGCATTTCCTCAGCAGAATGTCACTACAAGTATCAGCAACATGTTTTTAAATCTTTTTTTTTTTTTTTTGTCATTAGGTTGGAAACTGTGTGTCTTTAGCAGATTTTCCATAAAAAACATCCCATGGAAGAAAATATATTCATCCTCTTGTCACAAACTTTTACGCTTTTTTGTTTTGCAACCCAAAACATGTAAATAAAATATTGGGAATTTAAGACAATACATGTCATGCAGTAGAAATTACAAGATGTCTTTTTTTTTTTTTTTCAAAAGGTCATGTGACATTTGTGGTTCTAAACAAGTTTTATTAAGATGGACTGAGAGCAAGAATGGCTCTTTGGATTGTAAAGTTTGCAAACATCTGACATAGATTTAGTTACATTATGACTTCAGCTTTAATCCTCTTTGAAGAGGGCAGCCAGAAAGAACTGATCATATTTTCACTCCTAGATGTGACTATTCTTTTTACTGCTTAATACAAATCTGGTGGTTTTAAAATAGTGATTTCACGAGCAATCTTTACAATGTTTTAACAGTTTTTAACTTTTAAGAAAAGGCAACTGGAGCAAATAATAAAGCAAAGGTGAGAACTGATTAAACCTCCTTGTAAAAGACAATCATTAACCTGCTGCATAATCCAAACAGATTGACCTTTTAAAAGAAGTACAGTGTGTGCTGGGACCTTTTACCACATCAGTTTTGTCCCTAAATGACAAGTTGCAAAGCAAATTTTGTTATTGGACAAAATGGTAAATACATTTTTCAAATGCTGATTTCATTTATTAATGAAAAACAGTACTGGCTTGGCCACATGTAGGGAAACAAAACCACACTGCTTGTTAAACCATTGATAACCTCTTCTTTCTTTATGCAGACAAAACAATGTTTCTGATAACAAATCAACAATTTCCTGTTTTCAGATCATAGAGAGTGACAAACGTATCACACTGGGCCAGAATGATACCGGTTTCAGCTGCGACGGCTCAGGAAACACCTTCCGAGTGATGTTTAAAGAGCCTGTGGAGATCCTGCCCAACATCAGCTACACTGCATGTGCCACCCTAAAGGTCAGCCTGAGCATTTCGTCAGAAGAAATCATCGCGAAAACTTGAACTAACCAATTTGGGGGATTTTTCTTTTTTTTTTTTTTTTATCTCACAGGGTCCAGACTCTCATTATGGCACTAAAGGGTTGAAGAAAGTGACCCAAGAATCAACAACTGGGACCAAAACTACATTTCTGTTCTTTAGCTCACCTGGAAACAACAACGGCACGTCGGTAGAGGATGGCCAGATACCGGAGATCATCTACTACATATGAACTTTACATACTGCCATGCAGGTACAAAGAACCAGGAAGACCTCAGGCCACTGGAAGGACTGGACTTCTGTGAATGGATGCAGTGCCTCTGGATCGCCTGGAGTATTTTATGTGTGTCTGTCTGTGCGTGCGCGAGTGTGTCTGTGTGTGAGTGAGAATGCCGTGTGTGAGAATCTCTGTACATATATTCACGTGCAACTCTGTTTTGCGAAAAGAAAAAGAAAAGTTTTTCGGGCCTAAAATTTTCTTTTGTTGTCGTAAGTTGTCTAAATACTGATGTTCTGTCTGTGCTACTAAGCTGCTTGTGGTGCAGAAGTTGCACAACTAAAACAACAAAGACGGCAACACGACTTTCAATGAGGCCAACTCGCTATGTCTGTTTGTGCTGATGCATATTTTTAATGTGCACTGTTGTACTTTATAAAACAGGTGTCTTCAAGTACCTTTTCTCTGTGTTGTACAAAGGCTCCCTGTGCTTAATTTTGCCAGTAGTTCTTTCTGTAACTTATTACACAGTGTTTACTTCGCATTTCACTGAAATGTAAAACAGGAAACAAATGTTCTGAGACATTTATGGGTATATTAAACCGGAATTAGTTTATTTTTAGCTTTTGGGCAATAAAACACGCTAAGACCAAACTGACTGATTCGTTCAGTCAATATTTCATGTGTATTCTTTTTGTTGTTGTTGTCTGCCACTAGGTGATGCTGTCTTATAAACAGATTTCAAACCACTGAAATTATTTAACTGCAGATGACAAGGAAAAAAACTATTGGTGGAAGATATAAATTGAGAAATAGCTTCAATGTTTTTTTTCTCAAACAATGTATTCAGTAAAAAATAAGTGATGCAACATTGTGAAAATCCAGAAGCTACTCTTTTTAAAAAAACAAAACCATTTTATTTATTTTATTTTATTTTATTGCTCTATGGCCATTTATTTGACAGTACTTTCACAGACAAGTGGGGAATGAAAGAGCGGGCGACATGTGGTAAAGGTCAAAGGTCCCGGAACTCGAACCTGTGACGATCGCGAGGAAGAACGAGGCCTCCATACATGAGTCGCGCGCTTTTCCACCGCCGTGTCAAAACCACACTGTTTTTTTAAATCCCATTTTTAAGTGGAGTATTATTACATTCGTTATTTTTTTAAAGTTGTTTTTAATGAAGATTTTAGCAAAGTTCAAAACATTGTTTCACAGCAACGATAGCCTCTGTTATGCTTACCCAAATCATGCTGCGAAGTGCCCTAGCATCGCCCCGAAGGATTTCCTGCTTGTGTGAGCTGAAAGGCCGTCTGCTGAAACATCTCAAAACCCCAAGTGCTTTTGCATTGCATAAGGTGTACATGCATTATGCGAGACACGCTTTGGAAACAAGAGGGCCCTTTTAGACAGCTGTGAGTGGGCTTTGATGAAGAGATGGATCCAGGATGGCTGTCAGGTGAGTCACCGAGACCCGAGAGCTTCTGCCGACTGCCCACCTAGACAGCCTTTTATAGAAGAAAGATTCTGTAAAATCAGCTTGACGCAGGGATTTATTTATTTTTTTCATTATTTTATTTTATTTTATTTTTTTTATTACACCCACAATGTAAAACAGCAATCAAGAAAAAAGTAGGACACACACTGAAGCCTCTGTTCTCTCTCTCACCTGTTTTATGTTACAAGGCCTGGAATGTGTTGAAATACAGCTCCATAAAATATTTAAAGGATCTATTAGGAATACATATCCATTGAACAAAGGATAGATGATAAGCTTGAACACAGTATCAACTGTATTATGTGATTTTATTTTTTTTTTCATTGCTGAAGTTATTAGCTTACAAATCCATGACAGGGTGTTGTGCTTTAATGTGTGTGGTGGTGTTTGTGTCTGCTACTGTGTGGGTGGGTGTATGACAGCAGAATGAGCTGTCTGACAGTTTGAGCCTTCGACTGGAGCACTAACAGCAGGGAAGGCGATTTCTGCCTCTGCTGTTGGTTCTTGACAATTTATGACACACGACAGTGCAGAAGTGAGATGTTTATCACAATGAAGCAGGACTATATTAGGCACTGCTGAGGACTTTGCTGTGCAATAATGATAATGTGTATCTGTGACTGTGGGTAGCGTCCTCATCGCTTCTAAAGTGGTTTTACATTCGGGATGTGAGTGCACATTTTAACGTCAAAGATTATAGCCTTTTTATTTATTTATTTATTTATTTATTTATTTATTTATTTATTTATTTATTAGATAATACACAACAAAAAAAAGTTTGAATTTGAAACTCTGTCTCAGACCGGATTTATTTAGACCTATTAAAGATTAACAATTCACACAGTACTCAGTGCATCATCCAAAGAAGAAGACTGTGACACAATCCTGGGTCATTAATCAGAGAACATGTTCTCGTTTACAGTTTTGCATAAGTGGCTAACATGTATAAGGAGGTGTTTTTTTTTTGTTTGTTTGCTTGTTTGTTTGTTTGCTTTTCCAGACGAGACCAAAACTTTTTACCTTACAAGCAAATCACTGTCTATGACTGAAAACACTGTGATGCAGCTCGGTGGTGGCAGTATCATGGACGTATGACACGGTAAGGTTGCTTTTCCTCAGCAAGGACAGAGAAAGTGCTTAGAGTTGATAGGAAGATGGCTGTAGCAACATCTCTTCAGATTTCTGACTGTAGTTTTTATTACACAAACTCTAACAACAGCTCTAACTAGAGGAAACCTCAAGGTCTCATGGAGAATACCTACACCTGCTCTTACAACCTGCATGGGTAGAAAGACAGGATGATAAAAAAACCCCGACTGTGTCAACAAATTTGAACCAAGTGGGTCAGGCTTGATGGTTCCTATGGATCTTCGTTCTTTGTGTCTTTTTCTGCCTCCCTCTGACAGACGGCCTTCTTCTGACTCAGCATCCAGAGCTCAGCTCAGACGAGCTGCTCAGTGTTTGCCATGTCTCATTCGTTAACTGTTAAGAAAAATAGACTGAATCTTTTGTTGTTGTTTTTTTTTTCAAGCCTAATTGGTACAATACCATACAGCTGCCAGGAGTTGTAGATGAAAATTAGCAATTAGGAAGAAATCTACTTAGTTTTATATGACAGACAGAAATGTTTGTGTTGGAACCTTGTCTGTTTAAAAACAAAGAAAAGAGGAGGATATGAGGGAAAAAAAACTCTTAGAGTCTACAAAAGAGTAGCCTCTAAGAGGAGGACAGCAGCCCTGAAGCTACGGAAATAAACAACTTTGATATATTTAAAAATCTCACATTTGTGCCTGTCCTGTGACTTTACTCTGAAAAATGTTAAATTTTGCTCAATCTGACTCTGAAAACAGTTTCCTTTTTTTAAGCGCCTCCTGAAATCTGTACTGCATTAGTACACATGCTTCGGTTTGCAGCCTGTCTGTTGTAATTTGACAACATAATTTACCTTCACACTTACATTTATTTATCGATATCAATCCTGTGCAGTGTGCTTTGGCACATCCTCCATATCTGTGAATCATTGAAATGGTATTTATTCAAAATGTTCTGGTGTGAGACGCAGCTCTGCGTTTGTGTATATCTGGCTGCTTCTGAGCAAAACTAACCTGCAGAAAAAAGAAAAAAAAAACAAAAAACATGCTTGTGTGTTCCTTTTGTCCAGCTGATGATATTAGACAGTTGGTTAATTAAACACCATGTAGACAGGACTGCATGGTGAGCATCAATGGCGCCTGCAAGACTCTGAATAGACAGGTAGGAGGAGTTTGATCGTGTCAGATGAAACTGCTGCTTTGTGACTTCATTCACATCAGATGACACAAGACAAAGGAAGGAAGTGATGTGTTTATGTTTTCATTGCATCTGATAAATTGCCAAATGGGTCTTTATATTGATGCCGATGAAAATCCGTGACATCTGATTTAAGAAAAATATAGAAAAGACAAACAATTAGCTGAAATAGCTGAAAACAAAATTGAAATGATCAAAGTCTGTAATCACCTTTTTAAAACGTTACCTAAATTCATTCGAAGAAAGACGAAAATATCCAAAAACATCTTTTCACCCTTAAAAATGTTTTCAAAAAAGTTTTAATTCAAGACTCATCATTCTGCGCTTTAGCAGAACAAGCGCAAATGACACACAAAGCCTAATTTTAGCTGGCAAAGACCACAAAAAAATCACTTTAACAGAAAGACGAGAAGAAGGTGGTGATCATATTTATTCAGTCTTATGTTAACAGGAGCAAACCCTGATTCCTGATAGCCACTTCACATTTTTGTCAAAGCATGTCAGACGTTTTAACAGACATTTAGTAAACTGTGTCAACTTGTTCGTAGGAGCGAAGCATGTCTCTAATGTGACTGCTGACCTGCATGCCGCTGTGACCTCTTCCTGTATCAGCAGTCCTTCAGTGGCACATTTACTTGTACTTCTACTTTTATTCAAATACTACGAATAAGCCATTCAAGGTGAAATGAAGTTCAACAGAACTGTGTCAGGATATTTAGCGAGAAAGGGAAAAAAAAAAAAACAGCAGACATTTGAAAGGAGCTGAAAGAAACTTTAAAAAAAACAAAAACGGACCTTTCAGGCACAGAATATCTCAACACCCTATTAATGTGTTTGAGTAAAGAAAGATACCACCAGATATAATCAGACTAACAAGCTCGACTCGGCAGCACAGTCCACTCTCTTTACATGCATGACCTGAGCAGATGCATGATTAACTTATAGGGTGTGCAGCTGGATGAACAGAGGACAAGATGTTGTCAAACCCCATCTAACAGCAGCAATTTAAAATAAAATAAAAAATATCCCATTCCTAATTCCCTAATTAAGTGGGTACGAGTGGCTGGTTAGCATTTGCTCACATGAGTTAATGAGATACAACTCTGTGGAGACATGCATGTTCTTGGCACAAACTGGAAACCACGAATTTCGACAAGAGCAGCAAAGCAAAGCATGCTTCCACCATTCAGACTCACATGCAACACAAATCCTCTGTACTGTCTGCTGGAGGCTGGGGGCTGTCTGGCTGGCTGACCCGGGCCGATCTCAGTCCCTGCACTCTCCAACACCAGATGTAGGTCGCAAAGTGCTGCAGGGGCTGGGAGATGCAGGGCCCCTCCTGTTTGTGTGCAATAGATGGAAGTGGGGAGGGGGGACTGGAGTTCATTGTGTGCAGACATGTATTTCTGTGTGCGGTAAGAAGGGGAGAGAGCGGAGTGATGATTGCACTGGATGAGTTCATCACCAAGGACATGGCCCCCAGCACACTGTCTCCATTGCTGTCACATTGTATTGTCCCAAACAGGCCACATGAAGCCTGACAGCCCGGCAGATGAGACTGAGGCAGTACTCCCGTCTCTCTACGTACTCGTCTCTCTCTATTGTTTTTCCTCCCAGCCTCTAAATGATTCGCTATCAGATAACTAATTAAAACGCAGCAAGGGGTGAAGATTTTTGACATTAATAAATCCTAAAAGGTTCTGGAGGTTTTTCCATGCTGTAAAACAAACAAACAAACAAACAAACAAAACAAAAAAAACATTTGAAATAATGTTATCCTCTATTTTTAGAATATGAGTGCAAAGAATGAGGAAGGGATAACCGATACTCAGGAAGGGAGAAGGTGAACGCGTTGAGGTGAGGTCCGGATTAGTCTTTGCAGCAGCATGAACCTCATATATGGTCTACTTTTTGAAGATTGTCAGAGGATGTTAGTTCATCTTACTCTTCTAGTTGTTTGGATAAGAAAAATAAGTTTTGGACTTTTACCAAATGCCCTACGTCTTACAATTCCAAAGCAGGCTAAATGCAATGCATCTGTTAAAAAAAAATAAATAAAAATTGTAAAATAAAAAGATAAAATCTCACTTTGTGGATTTTTGCTAAAAAAAAATCCTTAAAAAATATTTTTATGGCTGTACAATTTTCTAAAACAATAAATGTCATTATCTTAAGGAACACCTCAACTTCCAGGATTAGGCAATTATTCAGTATTAATCTTAAGACTAGGAAAAAAAGGCTAAATCCAAACTGTGCCAACAGGACAATATTAAAAGGGTTGGAGACACAGGACTCTGGGATGTAGATGATTTAATCTGAACTGGTTGCTACGCAGCCTTCCCTTCTCTCCTTTAGTCACTCATGTCCTCATCATCCAGCTGAATGTGTTGTCCAAATTAAATGTTAGCCTTGTAGACACTGGGAATCTGAATATAAAACTCAGAAATCATCCCAAATCCAGTGGCGTTCGAATACAGTTATTGTTTATCACGTAACAGAGCTCCTCTGCTTAACGGACTGTAAAGCTCTAAGTGCCGACATTAAGGCTCAGAGCTACATATGCCAGAGCCAACGGTGCATGTTGCAGTAATGTATTAATGATGCACATCAATGTTTTAGCTGCTTTTTTTTTAAAAAAAGTGGACTGTTCTGAATATTGACTGTGAATGCAGGTTTTTCTCTTCTTATTAGAGTAAAGTCAGGGTTAATGGACAATTAATGGACAGTAGAGGCAGGTAAAGAAAAACCTTCTCTGAATCAACAACGTATGCAGATGCACTGATAAACCTGAGGCAGTTTAACTGAAATCTAAAGGACTGAGCTGAATGAATAAATGTAACTTGTCCTGAATGATCTTCACTGTTCTCACGAAGCATTTCAGTGACCCATATAAAAAGCCCATCTGGAGAACAAAATTGAGACTGGATGCCTTAATACATGGGAAGATACTGACTCCAGTGGCTGTTGCCAAACATTTTAGTGTATTCATAAATGCAAAATTTTAATCTATGAACATAAGTACTCTTTAAAAGAACCCTCTGATAACATTTGTTGGTTTCACCTTTTTAACCAACCAAGTAGCTAACACTATGCTACATCCCTGATGACTAGGAGCTTCTATTTCTAGAAGCAGGACGACCTTTCAGCAGCGATGGTGATGTGTGAGCATGTTATTCATGAGATACCTTTGGATTGAAGAGTATTTAAATATAATCAGGTGGGTATATTATCCAACTCCCCTTACTAGACCAACACTTATGTTAATGCTCCACAATTACAATGCTCACCACCAGTAGATGTGTGTGAGCTATAATCATCTCTATTAGAGAACGAGACGAGCTGGGTCTAAAAGTGCAGATTGCAGGTGAGCATTTTAAATGTCTGCTAGAGTTGTAAGTACTGCATAAATAAAATAATTTAGAACAAAAAAAAAAAGTATTTTCTGTGCAGGACAGTGATTTGATCTTTATCTGCTCCCAAATTAGAAAAAAAAAACTTGTCAAAGGAGAGATTAAGACAGTGAAATTGTTTAAGTGTTAGCTGCTGCTTCACAAAATTAACAGGCTAACATTTCTGGCCTTTAACCTCATTGTGTTTCTTTAAGTGGATTGCAATCATAACTCCTCAGCCTGGTTAAAATACTGGTCTCTGAATTTATGACTTAACCCATTGTTTTTGCTTAATTCATTGCCCCTGTGTATCAAAAGCACACAGCAGCTGACACCTAATCATTCGCATGTGGTTCTCTGATCACCTGGTTAAAGATATACACACCTTCCAACTTTTTTCTTAACTCACATTTAAAACTTGAGCATCCCAGGTAGAACACCTGAATTAAAAAAAAAAAATCTTTACACCCATTACAGTAAGGTTGGTGTAGGTGACTGGGTTTATGTAATTAAACTTTATACATCTGATTGCACAGTCAGCAGTCATTTTATTAGAAAAAATACATATACTCATAGAAACAAAGGTTAATCTGCAAGTTCATACACTGATGGTAAAAGTAAAGCTGTATCATGAATACATTTGTCTTGGAAATTCAGATTTCACATATCACAATCATTGCAAATTTCTGCCTCTGCATGTATTTTTGCTACAAGTAAAAACAAGGAACAGGAGATTTAAAAAGCAGCTCTTACTGCATCACCGATGAAAAGGAGAAACCAGCTGAATCCTACCACAAACAAGTGAAGCTCAAGTCATGAGACCGTAAATAGTAGAAATCTGAGTAATCAGTAGCGATCATAATGTGGACGATTATGAGAGTTGTATCCCTGATTGGAGCCTCTGGACCCAGACTGATATCCACTGCCATGCCCCCAGTTCCTGTCTCTGTCATGCCAGTGCTGTCCACGACGGTCCCCTCGCCACCTTCTGTCTTCTCCCCAACTGCGGTCTCTGTAGCCTCGACGGTCCTGGTACCTGGAAGGTATTCATAAAAAAATAAATACTACAGCATAAAACATTTCCCACAGAGCGGCTGACTGAACACAAACTGGACCAACACTACCTGTTGTCCCTGCCCCTCTGGTTTCCCCCTCCACGCCCCCGCCAGTCGTCAACAATTGGTGGCGGGTCAGCTGGACGTTTCACATATTGCTGGTATTCACTGTCCTCCAGTGAGAATCTGTTCGAGAACAGCTCCTCGTAGCTCTGCGTGTTTTCTGAGGCATCAGACATCCTGTTAGCAAGACGATTAAAAGAAAAGGCTGTTAAACTTTGAAGAAAAATAAAAATAAAAATAAAAAGTATGAGAGAAAACTGCCAAGATGATTGTGTTATGTGTGATTTTGACTTTTTCAAAAACAAAAAAAAAACCCAACATAACTTTAATACTATGTTTACAAGTTTAAAATACAGAAACTAATTTAAAAAACATTTCAAGGTGCTTCATTTTTCAAGCCCAGTAAGATTGTGTTCGAAGCAATTTTTAAACTGAAAGTGGATCAAATTATGAACGAATAAATTACCAGTTTCAAGCCAAAACTTAAAAGTGTCTGCCTAAAATCTGAAGATGAAAACTGATTTAATTTCCCAGTATTATGACAATAACTACTTAACCCAATCAGACATGTGTCTGCACATGTCTGACTTCTGGCCAGAGTTCAGAACTAAATCAGACAGAAAATCTGTAAAAGCTACTGGACAAAAAAAAATCTGAAAATCTGATAGATTACAACAAGTTTTACAAGGAAGAGTGGACAAATGTTGCCCAATCAAGATGGGGCGCGATGACAGATCAATACTAAAGAGGACTGATTGGGGTGTGTGCGACACTTTTAATATCCGCTGTTTGTGTCTGTAGATTACCAGGAGCTGAAACTGCAGCAAAGCCTTACTGTACCAGAGAAACCGAAAAATTACATTATGTCCGTCAAGGAATGAATACTTGTTTAAGCAGTGAAATTTATAAGAAATGTTCATTTTTAAGATTAAAATATACTAATATCGAGTGAAAGCAGCATGCTTCACTGTAGTCTGTTTCGTATTTTCATAATTATTCCGTAAAGATCCTTAATATGTTCAGTTATGCTGAGTATTCCATTTTCCAACAACTAAACACATGGAGTGATCTTTTCTGCCAAATAATATACAGTCTCTAGTTTAGCAATGTGCATTTAAACGCTCATTGGAAACAAACTGTTTAATAGAAACTGCTAAACTGAATTGCTATTGCTAACACGGATTTTAAGATTGTTTTCCCCTATGAAGTTCGCAGCAATGAACTCCAAACCAGGAATTGATCCAGTACAATTAGCATAATTAAAACATAAAAGTTGTCCTTCTAATGCACTTTAGCAGAAAATTTAAGAACGTACCTTTCTTTACACGTTAGCTTTAGCGTCAACTAGTATCGGAACGTCACTGAAAATATGTTCCCTGAAACACAGAAGCTTGAATAATGGTTCCGGGAGCGCGCGCACCTGCTCCTGATTACAAGCTTTTCAGGTATTAGAAACCTCTATAAAAGCTTCTTTATTAGCATCATCTGTCCGTGTTAAGTCCGGTTTATGAAGACACAGTTTAACTAATATGCATATTAGTTGTCCATCTGACTGTATAACGGATCTCAACTCCAGGAATTCAGCATTATAAACATGTAAGTGTTTAAAAAACGAAATAAAACAAAAACAAGCTGTGGGTTCTGTTTTCTTGGACATTTCGTGATTTCAGACCACAGTTTGGACACAGTTGTCAGCGTGAAACCGCAGCCCAGCACCACAGATACCGCAGGTTTAAAGAGAGTGGGTGGTTTTGCAAAAGGAGGCAGGTGGAGGAAGCCGCTCCGTGTCGCTGCTGCCTGCTGCCTCTGCTGCCCTTCATATGAAACACAATCCCTCTGGGGAGGAAGAAACTCCGCGTTGAGACCAGGCAGACAAACATCAACTTATTTCCTTATCGCCCTACTGCAGGAAGCGAGGAGGAAGCCATTCCTTAGTGGGATTTAGCGCCTCACGTTTGATAGGAGCGACAAACCAGGAGAGGATTTAAAAAAAAAAAAAAAAAAAAAATTTCCTGAACTGAAGGTGTTTCTGTAGGAGCGAGCTTGACAACCCGGTGAATCGAGTTTACGGAGAAGTGTTCTCGTATTTCACTTGTCTCTCAGCAGCAAGAGGACTTTTTTCCCGCTGCGGACAAAGCGGGGTTTTGACTCCGCTGACCACTAATATTTTAAGGACCTCACTTTTAACATTATTTTTTTCTATAGCCTCTAAATAAAGAAAAGGAGTTGCGCCTCAAGTCCGCTGCAATGGGGTGAGTGATCCGGAGAGCGCTGTCCTTCAGAGCGCCTTTTTTTAACACCTGACTGTTCAATGTGTGTCGGTTCGCAGAAATGCCTCTATAGCTGTTCACCTGTTATTCACTTCACCTGAATAGGGGGAACTGTCTCGGCTCGACTGTCCGTGAGGAGGATCCTTGCTTTACAAGATTATATTTACAGACCTCTTTTCTGTGAGATAATGCGACTTCTTATGTAAAAATATTATCTTGCGTATAGTACGTAATTTCAAGTGGATCCCTGTGCGTTTTTGCGTTCTTCATAATCTGTGCAGCTACCGCTTTGCGGCTTATGATATGGAGGTGTCAGAGTCAACACTGCCCACTAACGAGGAGAGATATGGCACTTGTGGGAGTGTGTGTGTGTTCTCTGGAGAGTGTGTGCTTCCACTGTCGTTTACAAGAAACTGCACATAATTTTGTGTCTATAGTCTGTTGTGTGGAGTGTTGACTCTGGCTCATCTCCACAGTTATGCAATCCGTAGCCCACTTGACATATACTTGATTGGGATGTTTATGTGAGGTACCTACTGTTCCTCTACATTTTGACACAATGATTTTTTTAAAAAGTTGATTTTAATATGAATTTTCTCTCAAAGAATATGTAAATGTTAGGGATTCCTCTACATTATATGCAAAACTAATGTTGTGTATTTAAAGGCATTAATGTTCAGTAGCTTTCTGAAAACCCGTCATCCACTTCCACATTACTAGTTTCTACCAGATTACACAAGTTTGTCTCTAACTACATAAAATCAAACCAGTTTTACAATCTCGTCATCGTCTTGGAAGTTTTACAGTCACCGAACCGGTTTGGAGAGGTGTTGGTCTTGTTGTGTCATGAAACTGGCCCCGTGGACCAGGAGCCAGGCCAAGACTGGGCAGGTCACACTTACTGGTGGAGACGGCTCTGTGGTTTCATTCTGCCTTATAACATCTGATGGCTGAGAGAATCTTGGAAGGCAGAAGCACCCGTCTCCTTGGAAATCGGGATTCATTTTAATATTACGAGTCAAGTTTGCCATCACTTTTGTTTTAGAAGATGCTTCCTTTTGTAATCAGCTGATGGCTGATTTGTCCAATATTTACATCATCAGAGAATCAAAAGTGACTTTCTAAATGGGCTCAGTTCAAAACTTTAGATTTTTTTTTTAAACTCACTTGCAGTTCCCTATTTTTAATCCTTTTTTAAATTAAGAGGCGGGCTCTCCTTCTGAAATCGTTTATCTCTGCAGCACACAATGCTAAGAAATCTGCAGTGTACCTATGGCTGTGATTAAACAAGTTTACACTTGAATCTCAGCGAGAAGGAAGTATAGGAGAAGTGCTCTCGGGTAGTGATGCATCTTGTTCTCATGCTTGTTTTCAATCAAATCCTTTTTCTCTACTGTTAGTGTTTTGTCATTACATGAATACCAGGCTGCTCTTCTGAAAATGTGACTAGTTGGTGTACATGTAGGGTAATGATGTTCAAAGTGGCACATATAAAGCGGAAGCTCTAGTTGTGACATTATATATTATAGTTATAGCTTTACAGGCTTTGACCAGAGTGTCTGACATTGATATCAAACTGATGGAGAAATGGGGCGTACAGCTGCTACGCCCGCCTGATGGTGGAGACGATGGATTTTAACTTCACCCACACACCAGACAACCATACAACCATTCAGGCTCCTTCAAACCCAAAATGCATCAAACCGAGTGAAGTGCTGCTCATGCTAATGTCTGTAAGGTGAAGGACACCAGACACAATGAGTTCTCTACTTCCTTTGTGTCTAGCCTCCTTCACCTACTCCTTTGACTATTTGAAACTCTAATTCTAGTTTTACTGTAGGCCATAATTTATGTCCTACGCCATTCTAGATGTTCCAACTCGAATCAAATCGTATGGATACCCAGAGTTGTTGTTTTTTGTTTTTCGATATGGCTCTCTTCCTAGGGAAGCATTTCTCATGGGGCGACATGAGCACTCGGTTAATGGGTGATTTTTTTTATTTTTTTTTTTACTTGCATTTTCAGCCAACATGTAGTCGGCACCCCACGGAAAGTCGCTGGTCTGTTTCACTCAACTTCCTTCGCTAAAAGGAAATCTGGTTTATATTACATTGTCTCTATTCATAAATGTAAAATACATGTTCTGGTGTGACCTGAGCTTGGCGGGTCTACATTTGAGATTCATGAAGCTTTTATTCCATTTGAATACACAAAAAAGAAATATGCTCCATGATTGTTTTGGTATTACAAACACTATATTGTAACCTAAAAATGTATATCTATAGACCAGGGCTGAAATGATTAATCGATTATCGAAATGATTGTCAACTAATTCAGTAATGGATAAATGATTAACTGGAGTGTAGAGACTCAAAGAAGGCCTTTAGGTTTAAAAAAACCCCAAAATGGAGTCGGAGCCGTAATCCACCCAAAACTATACAAAAAATAAATTTTACAATTAAGATAAAACTGTCTTTGCCTGTAATGTTTGAACCAAATTTTAAGTGGTAAAATTTTAGCTTCACCTAGTTCACATTTACTAATAGAATGCTATTGTTTTATATCTTAGGCACTAGAATTTATTTTTCATTATTAGAAAAGGAATTGAATTATTTTTCATTTATTGTGTTAAATGAAGAATCTGTATAGTGTGAATGTTATTTTGTCCAATTAATCTATTCTTAAAATAATTGTTGGTTGTGCCCTCGGTGTAGACTGGCTGTTTGTTTTTATCTGAACGTTTGGTTTGTGGACTGATGGCTGATTCTTGGACATCTTATCATACAAAGTTGATCTCACAGGAATGTGTAGCAGAAGTTTTACGGAGGCGATCTTACTTGCACAATGTTTCTCTCTCTGGTTACACCCTTGCGATGATGCAACAATGTTGCACCCTGGGGATCAGTCAGAGCTGACGAGGTGTATCTTACTTTTTGTTTTCACTTCATTGTTGGGAGTTCTTCTGTATGAAACTATTCACTTCTAATTTAAGTTTTAGATTAATCATTTCACAAAAAAATACTTAGGAGAGGAAACACCCAGGATATTTTTCTTTTGTACCTTAATTACTAGTCTTTAACTGTATGAAGTCACTGGCGTCATTTATTGTTTTGTTTTTGTCACTAAAGTTCCATAGGACTCACTGAGGCCATTGTGAGTTTGTCTCTGTTATAATAATGCAAACATACGCCTTAATCGCATACCTGCAGTTGAACACTGCTGAATTTTGGGAGTGAGAAAATTTGTACTGCTGCAGTGTGAAAGAAAGTTGTATTTTAGGAAGAGGTTAGCAGCTAATGCACCGTGTCTCTGGAAGTACTGAAAAATAAAGCTTAGATTGCCTGAAGCCCTGTTGTACAGCATAAGCACACAGGCAGCCAGCAGTATAATCAGCATATTGCTATTTAAAGCAAGCTATGCTGGGAGCAGCCCTAACACAGGGATAGATGATAATCTCCTGGCTGGCCAGAGAATGACATCCAAAGGCTTAACACTCATTGATTAGGCTCTGTGACATGGCAGCAGGTCTCTTGGCCGCCCTGACAGGAGACTGGACTTTAAGCCTAACCAGAGAACCAGAGTGTGTGCCTGTCTGCCTCTGGTTTGGAGGCAGCCCTCATCGAGCTCTTGTTTACAAGAACAAATGGGTTTTAGTGGTAAAAAGGGTAAAAGAAGAGGGACATGGATGGTGGATTGAACATTGTCTCAGCAGATGTTTGAAGCCCAGGAGGCCATCTGCTGTCATACTGGGTTTCTGGGGAGATTTCCTCACTCCCTTTTCCTTGGATCTCTCAGATTAAGTTGGGCTCTTCATGTCACCTCAGTGTGGCGGTGGGGGGGCCTGCTGCGTCTGCTGGCGTGAAGCTGGCCTGTCGCCTGCATTACATGAGATGCTGCTGTATGACGCCAATAACTGGCAAGACTTGTGAAGGTCACTGATGACTGCAGCTAAAGCAGGCTGATGGGAATTTAAAAAAGAGAAAATTGATGATTCTGTCAATTCAGTTGTTCAGAATTGGTTGTTAACGCTACAGTATTATAGCAAATCAGAATGCAAATGTAATGAGAAGACCCAGTCTGAATGAAATCTGATTTTTATATCATGAGTGTTTTGACTGCATTGTGACTGATTTCAGGTATGTTGGGGGTTGCATCACAATATTCAAATATTTCTTAAGGCAAAACTTGCTGATCTGTGAGCTGGTGTTTTTGTGCATTGTTTTAATATTAACTGAGCAATTCAGGCCTAAGATTGCATTCTAACTTTGGTTGATGTTTGTCTTTTAGGTCCTCATTTTCTTCCATTTTTAATAAGCAGGTTGTGTGTTTTTCTCTTTTTTTGCATCTTGTAAATAAAGCTATAAAAAAATGTCAAATTAAACCAAACAATATCAAATGTATCTCATTATAGGCTCAAAATTTAACATTTTGAGCCTATAATATAGGCTCAAAATTTAACATTTTGAGCCTATAATAGTCAAAATATCACATTTTGACCATTATAGGGTCAAATTTTAACCTATAATGGTAAAATTTTAGGTTAAGTCACCTTAAGGTTACTTAAGTTGAAAATCACTTAAGTGACCTTTGGACTGAGAAGTTCAGTGGTGAGGGTTTCATCTTTGCTCGTCCTTCATCCACCAGGTTTAGTAGGTTGACTTGTAAAAGTGCTGCGTCACGATATGAAGGAAACGTGTAACTTCAATACTATCGGTGAAAACTGGGATGACTCAGTTGATTACTCGCATTTTTCTCACTCTTTTCTTTTAATTTCAGAACATCCCCACCAGTTTCTGAGTTTTATCGTCTCAGCCACTAAAAATAATCATCAGGTGTGGGTATTAAGGGCAGTTAATCTGCCCACCTGGGCAAATGCATTATCATTTTGCAGCGTGTGCACTTTAACACTTGAAATTTAGTTTTCTGCCAAAGATTATATCCAGGAAGTCTGTTGTAATTTCAGTGTTCCAAGTCATTTTGCG